GCGGTCGACTCTGAGGATCCCCCCCCGAGGCGACGCGCGAGGCACACGCTCGCGCGCCGTTGGCGCCCGCCGCGCACGATGGCCGCGCCGGTCGCGTTCGCCGGCGCGCTCGCGCCGTCTCCGCGCGATCGATCCGCGCGCGCGTCGTCGTCCTCGCGCGCGCGCGCGGCGGCGCCGCCGCCGTCCGGTCGTCCTCGGCTCGGCCGAGTGATTCGATCGTCGTCGTCCCCCAGAGATGCGCACGCGTCCCACGACGAGAGCGACGAGAGCGCGGGGCCCCCGCTCGGCGTCGTGCTGACGCACGTCAGCGCCGACTTCGACACGCTCTCCTCCGCGGTCGGGCTCGCGAAGCTGCGCGATCACCGCCTCGGCGCGCAGTGCACGTGCGTCGTCCTCCCCAGGGGCGCGTCGCCTGGGGTGTCGCATTATCTCGCGCTGCACAAGAACAAGTTCCCGATCAAAGAGTTTCGCGCCGTGGACGCTTCTCGGCTCGAGTGGGTCGGCGTCGTCGACGCGCAGCGGCGCGACCGACTCGCGGACTGCGCGAGTTGGCTCGACGACGCGAAGGACGTCGTCGTCGTGGATCACCACGCGCTCGCGACGTCGGACATCGACGCGACGGAGCGGATCATTCAGGAGGTTGGCGCGACGGCGACGGTGGTGGCGGAGATGCTCGAGGCGGAGGACGTCAAGGCGAGTGATATGAGACAGACTGCTTCCCATACGACCGCGTTCGCGTCGTGAACGCCGTTCCTTGAGGACTTTACTTTTTCCCCGCCCGTCGTTTCTTTTCTCCCTACCGTGCGCTTCCCTTTCGACGCGACGCGACGCGACGCGACGCTCGACCGACCGACGCGACGCTCGACTGACATACACGCGTTCGCCCTCTCTCGCGTCGTATACGATACACGACGACGAACGAACAGATCACGGAGGAGGACGCGACGCTGCTCGGGCTCGGGATTCACACGGACACCGGGTCGCTGACGTTCGAGGCGACGACGCCCCGCGACGCGAAAGCGCTCGCGTACTGCCTCGAGCGCGGCGCCTCCCAGAAGGCGCGTTCTGTTATCACACTGGTCCCCATACGACCGCGTCGGCGTGGTGAACGCCGATCCTCAAGGACTTTTGCCGTCGTCTCTCTCCGCCCAGGGTCCCTCGCTTTCAACGCCCGCCCTCGATGCCTTTCAACTCCACCTGACGCCTTTCAACTCCACCCCGATCGCAGGTGCTCGCGGAGTACGTCAACCCGAACCTGACGCCCGAGCAGAGAGAGGTGATCGCGCGAGGTTTAGGCTCGACGCGGCAGACGGAGGCGGAGGGACTCACCATCGCCGCGGTGAACGTGGAGTGCGACGAGTACACGCCCGGGATGGCGACGTGCGCGAAAGAGCTGCTGGACCTCACCGACAGCGACGTGCTCTTCATGGCGGTGTCGTACGTTCACGGGAAGAAGAACCCGTACCGCCACGTCAGCGTCATCGGCCGAGCGAAGCCGGTGAAGACGGTGGACCTGGGGGAGGTACTGACGAACGCGTTCGCGGGCGGCGGGCACCCGAAGGCGGCGTCCGCGGCGTTTCGCATGGACCAGGAGCTGAAGACCGTGGACGCGAACCCGGAGTTGGAGGCGCGGCGCGTCGCGGGCGACATCGACGGGATTCTGGACGTGCTCGTGGGCACCGTGGTGGCGACGCAGGCGCGTTCTTTTCGTCGCACTGGTTCCCATACGACCGCGTTCGCGTCGTGAACGCCGTTCCTTGAGGACTTTTACCGGCGCATCTCTCCGCCCACACCACGGTTTCAATCCCCGCCTTCGACGCCTTTCAACTTCAACTGACGCCTTTCAACTCCACGACCCTCACTCATCAGGTGCCGCCGCAGAAGACGGCGGGGGACGTCATGAAACGCGCGGCGAACGTCGTCAGCGCGCGGCCGTCGATGACGATGGGGGAGGTGGGCGGCCTCCTCGAGAGGGAACACGGGCACAGGTCGTGCCCGGTCATCTCCGACGACGGCGTTCTCGTGGGCGTGGTGTCGATCACGGAGGTTGACGTCGCCGCGATCAAAGGGCAGCTCGATCGGCCGGTGAGCGGGTACATGAAGCTTCGATCTGCGGTCACGCTGACGACGCCCGTGAGCGAGTGCGAGAGGATACTCGTCGAGAACGGCGAGGGGTGCATCCCGGTCGTCGCCAACTACGAGGACGATAAGAAGGCGTGGAAGCTCGCGGGGCTGGTCACGCGAGCGACGATACTCAACACGCACGAGTATTACCGGAGTAAACGCATGAGCGGCGGACGGGGGTTTAAGGGCCCGCCGCCGAAGACGAAGTTCAACGAGGTGTTCTTCGCCGAGGACGTCCTGAGCATGGACTCGATCGACGACGTCGAGGCTGCGCTCAGCGCGCAGGAGAGGGAGTCGCTGGAGGCGTTGCTGCCGCGGGAGGGCGACAAGGGGACGACGAGCGAAGAAGCCTCTTGAAGAGAGAAAGAAAGGAACGCCAACGCTCGCGTCCGTCGCGACGATTGACGCGATACCTAATACGCGCGAAATGACTGACGACGTCTATCGCATCTAGAACTGCTTCGAGATCTTCACCTCCCACCACGCCGCCGCGCGAATTCGCGCGCGGTTGAGCGCCCACGTGGCGGCGGCGAGCGCGACCGCCGCGCTCGCCGCCCTCCCGGGGCGTCGAAGCGAGAGAAAAGACGCCCCCCCTTGCGCGTCTTCGAAGCACTCCAACGTCGGCTCGAGCTTCTCCGACGCGCGCTTCACGATCGCGACGATCGCCTCCACGTCCCTCGCCATCGACTCCGCGTGGTACATCGCGTCCGCGTGCGCGTGCATCGCCGCGGACGCGAGCGCGCGCGTGCGCTTGTACCCGACCACGGCCCATCTCGCGTCGTACTCGTCTCGGTCTCTCGCGCTCGGCAAGAGCCTTCGCTCGGGGTCGTCCCTCACCTCTCTGTCGTCGCCTCTCCACCTGAGCTTCTCCACCGCGCGAAGGACGCGCGTCGCGTCGCGAACCGATCGCGCGATGGATCCGAACACCGCGTTGCGCTCCATCGCGTCCGCGACGTGGAACGGGAGCGTCCGCCGCGCGCCGCCGCCGGAGAGGTCGCCGAACGGATCGTTCCCGACGCTGAACAGGTAGTCTCGAACGACGTCGTTCGCGCTCTCGGACCACGTCAGGTGCGTCGGCGCGACGCCGAACGCGGTGCGCAAGATGGCCGCGGTCAACGGCGCGCGGACGTCCGACGGCTCGAACAGCACGCGCTTCCCCTCGCACGACGACGACGCCGGGAGCGTCGGCGCGAGCGTTCGCACGGCGACGACCATATCCGAGAACGCGACCGCTCGTCGCGCGCCGTCGAAGAGCAGCGGCTCGGATCGCACGAGATCGAAGAGGAACACGGGAACGACGCGTCTGCGTCGTCGTCGCGCGTTTTCTCCACGTCGTAACCGCCCACTTTTATCCGTTTCGAGAATCTCGCCCGACCCCGGCGCGCCGAGCGTCGCGCGCGTCTCCGCCTCGATCCTCCCTCGAAACGCGCGCAGCCAATACCGCAGCTCCGCGGCGTCGAGGAACTCCCTGTGCCTCCCTGACGCGTATTTTGCCGCGACGGTCCCGCGGTCGTCGCCGATCCCGAACCCGCCGGTGGTCCCGGACGGCGCGCCCGCGTGGCGCGCGCTCGCCTTCAGCGCGCGGTACATCGCCGCCGCGCACGACGCGCAGTCGCCGACGCTCACCTCCCGGTCCGTCACCGTCGTCTTCGTCTTCGTCGACGCCGTGCTGGCCCCTTCCGCCCCTCGCCCCTCGCGGTCGCGCGCGCCCGCGCGTCGGTTGAACAGCCGCGTCATCGCGTCCGCGTCCACGCGCGGCGCGCGATCGGCGTTCCCGTTCGGGACGTCCGTGACGCGCAGGATGGCGATCTCGGTCTCGTCCCATTGCGCGCTCGGCGCGCGATCCAACGCGGGCGCGAACAGGTGGTCGCACGCGCGTCGAAGCGCGCCGAGCAGCGGCACGACGAGCGCGGCCGGCCGCGCGCGATGCGCCTCCGTCACCCTGGGAAGCGTCATCCACGCCGCGCCCTCGCCGCCGTCCGCGGGGCCGTACGACGTCGGCCCGGCGGTGAGGTCGATCCACGCGTAGCGGCGATCGGCGACGTACAGCTGGCCGGGGCACGCGCCGACGTTTCCGACGTCGTCGGCACCCCCATCGGCACCCCCCTCCTCGTCGTACGTGTACGCGTAGAGCTTCCCGGACGACAGCGTCCTCGGGTTCATGACGTACAGCGTGAACGCCGCGGCGGATGCCCTCGCGTGATCCGCGCGGATCAGCGCGTCCGCGACGGCGTGCGGGATCGCCACCATGGCGTCGTGCGCGCGGCTCCACCCCGTCGTCTTCGCGCCCTTCGCGCTCGCGGCCGCGCGATCGATCGCGGCGTGGACGTCGCTCGCGAGCGTCTTCGGCGCCTTCGTGACGTGGAAGTAGAACGACGTGGCGATGGGCAGCGAGTGGTTGTGGTCGTGATGATCGCGGTCGCGTCGATCGCGTCGATCGCGTCCACCACCTCCTCCTCCTCCTCCTCCTCCGTCGTCGTCGTCGTCGTCGTCGAACGGCACGCGCAGCGCGTGCGCGCGCACGTCCGCCCTGAGCGCGTCGAGGTACGGCGCGAAGTCTCTCTCGCCCAACCGCACGCGCTCGTTCCCGTCGCCGTCGAAGCCGACGAGCTTGACCTCCACGGTGACCGAGCGCGTCTCCGCGCGATCCCAACGCGCGAACTTTTCCTCGAACGCGCGCCGCCCGCCGCCGCGCGCCGCGCGCGCGCGCCGCCCCGCCGCGCGCCACGCGTCCTTCTCCTTCTCGGACAAGCTCGCGTACGCGTCCAGGCGGCCGAGGGGATCGTCGCGCGCGCGCGCGCTCAGGATCGCCTTCGCCGCGTGCGGGATCTCCGGCGCGAGCGACGACGCGGCGTCGTCCGCGTCGAATCGATCGGCGTCGAACGACGACGACGACGACGACGACGACGACGACGACGACGACGACGCCGCGCGCGCGAGGGAAGGGACGCACGCGAGCGCGGCGAGCGTCGCGAGCGCGAGAAGGGGGGGAATCGCGCGCGCCGGCGCCGCGCCGCGGCGCCGCGGACGTCCCGCGCCCGTCCCGCGCATGTCCGCGCGTCGCGAACTGCGCGGCGGAGAGAGCGCTCGTTCGGTTCAGCAGCAGTCGGCACGTTCGTCGCGTCTAGACTACGGTACGCGCGAGCGCGGCTAACTAAACGGCTACGTCCCCACGCGCTCTCGCGCCCGGCGTCACGACGGGACGTAGTCCTCGTCCTCGTCCTCCTCCTCCTCGTTCTCCGACCCGTCCCCATCGCCGCCGCGCGCCGCGAGCCACGCCGCGAGCGCATCGTCGTCGTCGTCGAAGTCGTCGTCCGAAAACGCGAAGTCGTCGTCGTCGTCGCCGCCGCCGCCGCCGCCGCCGCCGCCCTCGCGATCGCCCTCGCCGCCGTCCAGCTCCACGTCCAGCTGCGCGGCGGTCCTCTCCTCGAAGTACCTCCGCCCCGTCATCTTCATCTTGCCCGGCGCGGCGGACGGCGGCGTCTCCGCGGCGGCCGCGTCGCCGCCGGCGCCCCCTCGCGCGTGAAATCCTTTCGAAAGCCGCGCGAGCGTCTCCTCGGCTTCGAATCGCTCCTCCCACGCGCGCCACGTCTCCGGCGTGACCGGCGTCCCGGTCGCGCGCATCGCTCGCAGCCTCGCCTCGGCCTCCTCCTCCAGACGCGATGCGATCTGCTCCGGGGTCTCCTCGACGACGTCCACGACCCCGGCGCGGTCTCGCATCCACTCCTTGGCGACCTGCGTCAGGTCGTAGATCATCGGGCACCCGACGCTCGTCTCCGCGGCGCGCGTCAGCGCGGCGTGAACGGCGACCAGCTCCGCGTCGAAGAGCCCGTGGACGCTGCGGCACTTCAGGAGCGGGACCTCGTCCGGGTACGACGGCGTGTGCGAGAACACGAGCCCCAAGCGCGCGCGCTGGGACTCGTCGTCCGCGTCCTCATCCTCGCCGTCGCCGAGCGGGGAGACGACGATCTGGTAGCACGGCGCGTGCGTCGCGCCCGGGATGGCCTCGGCGCCGTCGACGAGAGACATGTCGTCCATGAGGATCGACTCCAGGGCCTCGATCTCCATCGCTTGGTCCTCGAGGTGATCCGTCATGACGACCGGCGAGGCGAGACCTGGCGGGCGAGCGCGTCGACGACTGACGTGACGACGACGCGAGGGTTTGGTTCGTTGGAAGCCGAAGAAAACCAACCTCATTATGATCACGGACGGATCTCGCCGTCGTCGTCGCGACGCGCGCGGCACTCGCGGCCGCGCCGGTCGTCGTCCTTCGCGATGGCCGCCACCGCGGACGCGCCGCCGCCCGCCGCGGACGCCGCTGACACGGAAGAGGTCGAGGGCGGGAACGTCCGCGTCGCGCTCCCGAGCGCGTTCCTGGACGACGCCTCGTGCTCGCTCAGCTCCGTCGTGGGCGTGGACGTCTGGCGCGACGTCCTCGACGACGCCGATCGCGCGTCGCTTCGCGCGTTCCTCCCGCGCGCGGACGCGCCGGACGCCGAGATCCACGACCTCCTCGCGAAGCTCTTCGCGACCCCGGGCACGACCGCCGCGCGCGACGCGGAGGCGTTCTTCCATTTCGGCAGCGACGCGACGCGCGCGTGGCGCGAGATGCGCGCGCGCGAGCGGCATCCGGAGTCGATGCGATACCGCGCCGCGATCGCGCGCGTCGAGCGCGGCGCGCACGAGTACGAGACGCGGCTCGCGCACAATCGCGTCGCGCGATCCGCGCTCGGCATGAAGCTCCTGTTCGACGAGGACACGCCCGCGAGGGCGACGCCGGCGGATCGCGCGCGCGCGTGGCGGCGACGAGACGTCACGCCCGAGCTCGAAGAGTTTCGCGGGCCGCCGCCGTCGGGCGCCATGCGGCTGCGGCTGGACGTCGGCGCGGCGACGCCGGCGGAGGACCCGAGGCTCGCGGCGTTGTCGCGCGCGGCGCGCGACGCGGACGACGAGGCCGCGAGCGCGGTGAAGGCGGCGGAGGAAGCCGCGGAGAGGGCGGTGACGGCGGCGAGCGGCGGAGAGATCGGCGGGGGGGAGACGGGCGGCGGCGAAGCGGCGGCGGCGCGCGCGGCGCTCGCGGCTGAGCTGGCCGAGGCGGCGGTGGCGCGCGCGGCGGCGGCGAAGAAGCGCGCCGAGGACGCGCGCGCGGCGCTCTCTGCGGCGAAGCGGGAGATGTGCCCGCCCTCGAGCGGGAAGAAGGCGAAGGTTGAGAAGGTGGTCGGCCCGGAGGGGATCAAAGGGAAGTTCTCGATGTCCGAGGACTTCTGATGAGACGTCTGATAGTTTTTAGGGTTGCGGCTGCGACCGCTGCTACGTTTGGCGCGACGTTCGCTCGTCTCGACTACCTCTACGATACCTCCACCGCGTCGAAGGCGTCGTCGAACGCTTTCTTACACCCCGGGTACCGCAACCGCGCGGCGGCGATGCACTTGATCAGCGTGCTCTCGCTCGCCTCTCGCGTCCCCCCGGGCTTGGACACGCACACGAGGTCTCCGTCTTCTCGCATCACGACGCTCACGACCGACTCCATCAGCGCCTCCTCCTCGAAGTTCGGGTCCACGACGAGCTTCCCGTCGTACTGCCCGATCGTCAGCGACAGCGGGTGCGACGCGACGTCCACGACGCACGCCGCCGCGCTCGTCGACGCGTCGCCGTCGCCGTTCGCGTCCGCGTCGGCGTCGGCGTCGCCGGGTCGGCGTTCGCGCTCGCCGCCGCCCCAGACGAGCTTCCCTCGGTCGTCCACGTCCACGCGCGGCACCTTCGCGTCTTTCAGCGCGCCGACGACCGCGCACAGGGCGGCGTCTAAGATGCCGCCGTCGTGATCGAGCACGTACACGTCGACGCAGACCCGCCACGCGTAGACGCCGCGCTTGATGCACAGCTTGCGAAGGTCCACGACGTTCGCGTCGCGCAGGACGTCTTCGATTCGTCGCGCGCATCGCTGCGACTCCTCCGTCGGCCGCCCCGGCCGCGCGCTCGCCGCGCACATCGGCGGCAGCTCCACGGTGACCTCGACGACGCCGACGTCCGGCGCGGTCGGCTCCGGCGGCGCCGGCTCGAGCTTCGCCGCGGCGAGCGCGGTCGTGCGTCCGATCTTCACGAGCGCGCTGCCGTCCGCGGACGTCACGACGCCGTTCGCGACGGAGACGTCGCGCGCGCGCGCGAGCGGGCGGCCGTCCGGGCGCGTCTCCTCCGCGAGGAACTTGCGGTAGTACTCGTGCGGGTACAGCCGCTTGTACGCCGCCGCCTCCATCGCGTGCGCGCGTCGTGGGAGGGGGCGGGTGTTCGGGCGGAATGACGATCGACGAACGCGTTGGTGGTCCGCTCTTTCATGGAAGAGTCGTAGTCGGTCGGTCGGCCTCCAATTTTATTTAGGGTCTGCACCTGAAAACAAATTTGTGCGCCGCAATTTTTGCCGATCTGTCTTCGGACCCCCGTCATATGACGGTCTATTAACTCCTTACCCGTGAAAATATCTGATCGCGCAAATTTGACACACGCCATTTTCTGACAGCACACGCCATTTATTCCCGCGTCCGTCACTTCCGCTCGCGCCGACCGCACGAGCGCCCTCGAGACGCGACCGTCGTCTCCGAACCCGCTCTCGCCCTCGCCCTCGCGCACGTGCGTCCCCGCCCGCGCGCGTCGCGAGGAACCTCGCGCGACCTCGCGACGGACGCTTGCGTTATTTTTTCCCGGATCGCACGAAACGTCTTTCGGATTAATCATTTTCCCCGCGACTCCCCGTCTCCGCTCCGCTGACGTCCTCCCTCGCTCCGCGTTCTTCTTCCCGCGGCAGCTCGCTCCAGCGATGTTTTCTACTCGCAGCGCGCTCGCGCGCGCGCTCCTCCTCTCCTGCGCCGTTCTCGCCGCCGCGCGCGGCGCGAACGCGGCGTGGGAATGGGAGGCGGCGTACGACGTGACCGAAGCCGACGAGGCGTACTCGCTCAACCTGGCGAAGGCGCCGTCGACGGAGTCCACGATGAAGTTCTGCGTGTACAAGACGACCTCGCTGGACAAGACCGGCATCGAAGCGGTCGAGGACAACTGCGACGAGGACGCGGCGACGAGCGCGATCGCCGCGAACGGCGCGGTCACGACGCTCGCGCAGGGGACGACGTACCAAATCACGATGAACACCGTCTCGTGGCTCAGCGTGTTTAACGTCCAGTTTCCCTCGAACGGGTACTACGCGATGTACACCGAGCACAAGCCGTCGGAGTATTACTTCACCGGCGGGACGGAGTTGGAGTTGCTGAAGGACGCGGAGTCGCACGACGTCGCCGCGACGTGGCGGTCGGACTACGACTACTCCGTCCCGAGTAACCAGTGGCGGAACACCATGCTCGGGTGCCTCGCCGTGTGGGTCGTCACCCTCGCCGGTCTGTTCCTGATCATCAACTCGAAGATTTGGGACGTCATCAAGCCGTACGCGCTGATGTTCGCGTCCGGGACGCTGCTCGCGACCGCGTTCGCGCTCGTGTTGTACGAGAGCAACCATCTCCTCACGGGCTCGGACGAGGGTGAGACTGCTCCCCGTACGACCCCGCACGCGTGGTGCACGCCGTTCCTTAAGGACTTTTCCCGTCGTCACCCTTCACCCGCGCTTCCCTTTCAACGTTTGACCGGTAAGACGTTCGACTGACCGATCGCTTCACCCACGCAGGCCTCGCGTCCGGGAGGTGGACCGCCATGATTCTCGCCGGCTTCCTCACGTCTCCGGTCATCGCGATCCTCTTGAAGCTCGCCCTCCCTGAGATGGCCGCCGACGACGACGACGACGACGTCGAGAAGACGGCGTCGTGCGGCAAGGAGTTGAAGCTGACCAACATCGCGGACGGGTGCTGCGACAACAACGTGAAGGACGCCAACGGCTGCGAGACCTCGCTGAAGAACAAAAACGTACGCGTCCGATTCCTCTTGTCCCTCATCGTGGGCGACTTCTTCCACAACTTCACCGACGGCGTCTTCATCGGCGCCGCGTTCCAGTGCAACGCGACGCTCGCGTGGAGCATCGTCGGCGTCACCGTCATGCACGAGGTCCCGCAAGAGCTCGGCGACTTCGCAGTGTTGAAGAACCAACTCGGGTTCTCAACGCCTGCGGCGCTCCTGTACAACTTCATCGCCGGCTCGTCCGTAATGCTCGGAGGCATCGTCGTCATGTCCTCGAGCGTGAGTGACGTCAGCGTCGGCATGCTTCTCGCGTACGGCGCGGGGAACTACATCTACTGCGCGACGGTGCACATGTTCTCGCAAGGGTCGAAGAGCGCGATTTTCGACGCGAAGCGCCTGTTCGCGTTCGCGATCGGCTGCGTCATCATCGGTCTCATCTTGCTCGACCACGAGCACTGCACGGCGACGTACGGCACCGCCACGGGGGGGGACGCGCACGCGCACTGAGCCGACCGAGCGACCATTTTTATCCGGGACGTGCGTCGGACGCGTCTGACGCGCGGAACGTTTTAATAATTTCAATAAAACGCGCGGCGGCGTCTTCGGTCGAACGAGACGCGCGCGCGCGAGCCCGCTCGCGAGACGGGCCCGCGCGGAGCGAGACGCCGCCGGCCGAGAGATGTTTATGTTATGTTTTCTGCATGTTACTTTTGTTTATTTGTAAATACGCACGCGAGGCACTTTCGTGAGCGCAAGCGAACGCGACGACGCTCGGCGGGTGTCGGACGCGTACAGTACGTGTACGCGTGCCACTGCCCGCGCACGCGGGTGCCCCTGCCGCTGCCTGGCACTCGCGGCGCGGCGCTTCGAAAAAGTTGTGATGACACACGTCGAGAGCAACGTTCACTTCTCGTCACGCGCTTCGTCGTTCGCGCGCTCCACGACCTCCGCGGCATCATGCTCGCGTCCACCCCGCGCGCGCCCGCGCGCGGATTCGCGCTCGCGTCCGCGCCGCGCGTCTCCCGCGCGCGCGTCCGCGCCGCGGCGGCGCCGTCCGCGTCGCCCGCCGCGAAGAGGTCATCATCACCAGGCGACGCGGTCAGATTCGCATTCGCGCGGGCACTCCCGCCGCCTCCGACGCGACGCGCGGGGACGCCTCGCGCGGGGACCCGCGTTTTGTCGAGCGCGGCGACGCCGATAAACCTCGCCGACAGCGCCGACGACGACGCCTTCGACGACGCGCCGTCGACGACGTCCGCGAACCTCGCCGCGCAGATCCTGTCGGGAGTCACCGTCTCCCTCGCGATGGTCCCGGAGTCGCTCGCGTTCACGTTCGTCGCCGGCGTCTCCCCGATCGTCGGCCTCCACGCCGCCGCGATCATGGGACTCGTCACCGCGCTCATCGGCGCGCAGCCGGGCGTCATCTCCGGCGCCGCGGGCGCGACCGCGGTCGTCCTCGCGCCGCTCGTCGCGCGGCACGGCGTCGAGTACCTCTTCGCCGCCGTCGCGCTCGCGGGCGCGACTCAGGCGCGTTCTATACACTGGTCCCCATACGACCGCGTCGGCGTGGTGAACGCCGATCCTTAAGGACTTTTCCCGGCGCGTCTCCCCGCCCACCCCTCGCGTTTAATCCCCGCCCACGACGCCTTTCGACTCCGCTTCTGACGCCTCTTAACTCCACCCCGACGTTCGCTCGTATGGACCCTCGACCCTCAGCTGCTCTGCGGCTGGTTCCGGCTCGGGAAGTTCATCCGGCTCGTCCCGCAGCCGTGCATGATCGGCTTCGTGAACGGCCTCGGCATCGTCATCGCGCGCGCGCAATTCTCCACGTTCGCGGGGCTCGAGTCGTGGGCGCTGTGGCAAGCCGCGGCGCTGACGGCGTTCACGATGGCGATGATCAAGTTTGTGAAACCGCCCAAGGGCGTCCCGTCGCCGCTGGTCGCCATCGCGTCGTGCGCGCTCCTCGTCCGCGGGCTGGGCTTGGACGTCAAGACCGTGGGCGACGTCGCGCGCGTCGCCGGGACGCTCCCGTCGTTCCACCTCCCGAGCGTTCCGATGACGTTCGAGACGCTCGCGATCGTCGCGCCCGTCGCGTGCTCCGTCGCGGCGGTGCGTCATCAGTCGGACAGCGACCGCTTCGCGTCGTTTGATTCGCCCACCCCGCGCTCGACCCGGTCGGTTTGGTTTCAACGAACGCGACGCGACGCCCCTTTCGACTGACCGAGCCCTCGTCGCCCTCGTCGCGCTCGTCGCCCTCGTCGCGCTCGTCCGCGCGCGCGCAGGTGGGACTGATCGAGACGCTGCTCACGCAGCAGCTCGTGGACGACGTCGTCGGGACTCGCACCGCGACGCACACCGAGTGCATATCGCAGGGCGTCGCGAACGTCGCGTGCGGCTTCGCCGGCGCCATGGGCGGCTGCGCGATGATCGGGCAGTCGATGTTGAACGTCGAGAGCGGCGGGCGGACGCGCGTCAGCGGGGTGACGTGCGCGCTCGCGATTCTCGCGTACGTCACGTTCGGATCGGGGTTCATCGAGAGAGTGCCGATCGCGGCGCTCGCGGGGACGATGCTGTGCCTCGTCTTGGACATCTTCGACTGGACGAGTTTCTCTCGCGTGACGAAGATCCCGCGCACGGACGCGATCGTTCTCGCGCTGGTGACGTGCGTCACGGTGTTTACGAACCTCGCCGTCGCGGTGTTCGCCGGCGTCGTGCTCAGGTGCGTTCTGTACAAAAGTTTTTCACCCATCGCATCGCCCGGTTTCAACATTTGATCGCGTGGGTCCCTTTCAACTGACCGGTGAACTTTTTTTGTATGGAACGACCCTCAGCGCGCTCGGGTACGCGTACAAGGCGTCGAAGCAGATTTCGGCGACGAAACGCGTGGACGAGAGAGGCCGGACCGTGTACGCCATCGAGGGCCCGCTCTTCTTCGGCTCCGCGACAACGTTCGCGCGCCTCGTGGACGCGCGCGAGGAGAGCAACAACAAAATCGTGTGGGACTTCGCCGGGTGTAAGGTTTGGGACTCCACCGCGGTGAGCGCGTTGGACGACGCCGCGGCGAAGTGCCGCGAGCGGGGGAAGGCGGTCGTCCTGAGACACCTGTCGCCGTCGTGTGCGGCGCTGCTGCGACAGTGCGGTGACCTCGTGGAGGTGAACGTGGAGGAGGATCCGATATACGCCGTCGCCGCGGATTACGACGACGACGCGCTGACGAAGACGTCGCCGATGACGATTCAGGTGCCGGAGATCTCGAAGCACGAAGACCAGCTCGAGGACTGGCAACAGAGCGCGTTGCGGCGGCAGTTCAAGCGGTGACGCGCGCGCGCGCGATGCGATGCGCCGACGACGCGAAATTTGATGTGTGCGCGACGTACTGTAGAAGAAGTTGACCGCGAGTAGCGCGGGGATTGTGATGACCTTTGTGCGACGCGAACGACGCGAGCGCGCGTCGCCGTCGTCGCCGAAATCTGTCGTCACTCATCCACAGAGTCATCCAGTCACGCCGCGCTCATCATCCCTCGGCCGATCTCCCCGTCCATTCCGCGGGCGCCCGCCCCCGGGGTCCGTTCCCGTTCGCGTTCGACGCGAACGCCGGGATGGCTCCGTGGAGGCGACTGAGCCGGGAGTGGTCGCGCGCGGTCGCGCGCGCGGCGGCGGCGACCGGCGCGCCGCCGCGCGGCGTCGCGCGTCGCGCGCCCTCCGCCCTCCTCGAGTCCGGACGCCGCGTCCGCGAGTCGGACGACGCGGGGACGAGCCTCGTCGCGCGCGCGGCGTCGTTTCATCGCGCGGCGTCGCGTCGCTCCGACGCCGTCGCCGCGTCGCGGTCGTTGTCCTCCTCCGCGCGCGTTGACGCGACGTCGACGGCGTCCACGTCCAGAGGCGGACTTCGCGGCGTCGCGAAACCCCCGGAGTCGCACTTCGTCGATCGAATGTCCGCCGCCGCGAGCGCGAGGGACCACGCCGCGGTGTTCGAGATTTTCTCCGAGATGTGCGAGCACTACCCGGAAGACCCGGGCGCGGAGGCGTACGACGTCTTGCTGCAGTGCGCATCGCGCGAGGGCGACCCGGAGACCGCGCTGGAGCTCATCGAGGCGATGTGCGCGCGCGGGCACGAGCCCACGGCGCTCACGCACGAGCTGGTGGTCGTCGCTTATAATCGCGCCGGGGACGTCGCGAAAGGCCTCGAGTGGCTCGTCCTGCTCTCGGAGACCGAGAACGAGGACTTCATGCGCCGCGACGCCGTCGGGGTGTTCGACGCGGTCCTCCTCGGCGCCGCGAACGTCGCGGATCAGGTGCGTTCTATACACTGGTCCCCATACGACATCGTTCGCGTGGTGAACGCCGATCCTTAAGGACTTTGCCCGGCGTCTCTCTACGCCCAGGGTCCCTCGCTTTCAATCCCCGCCCTAGATGCCTTTCAACTTCAACTGACGCCTTTCAACTCCACCCCGACATTCGCTCGTATGGAATGGCCCTCAGGACGCGTTCCGGCGGTGCCGCGAGCTGATGCGAAAGTTTCGTTGCGCGCCCACCGAGCGCACGCTCGAGGCGTATCTCAAGATGGAGAGCAAGATTGGCACGAGCGCGAGCGTGGACGCGGTGTGGAATCACGACCACTTCAAACACCTCAACCCGTGGCGCCGGTCGCCGCGGTCGCGATGCCGCCTCGTCGAGGCGCACGCGCTCGTCGCGACGTTCACGCTGAAGCGACGCGACGCGCGCCGCGGCGGCCGCGGCGACGACCCGGCGCCGCCGCCGACGCTCGTCGCCGCCGCGAGCGAAGACGCAGCGGGCGACGGGACGCCGCCGCCGGCGAAGATGATATCGATGACGTCGGAGTCCGTGCGCGCGCAGATGGCCGCCGCGGACGCGCGCGCGAGAGGTCGGAGAGCGTTGGACGCGCTGAAGGCGCGTTCTATACACTGGTCCCCATACGACCGCGTCGGCGTGGTGAACGCCGTTTCTTAAGGACTTTGCCCGGCGCATCTCTCCGCTCATCCCTCGCTTTCAATCCCCGCCCTCGACGCCTTTCAACGCCAACTGACGCCTATGAACTCCACCCCGACATGTCCCTGAAGGCTGCCGTCGTCGTCGTGCCGCCGCGTCGGGAGACCATGGCGGAGACGGCGGAGAAGGACGCGGAGATTCGCGACGCCCTCCGCGCGTTCGTCGCGTCCGGCGACGACGAGCGCGTCTTCCCCGGGGAGTACACCAGGAGAGATCGGTGGGCGGTGCACCGCGCGTGCGCGAAGATGGGAATGAAGAGCGCGTCGAGGTTGGTGAGAGAGGAGAAAGAGGGCGGGAAAAAAAGCATCGCGAAACGCGTCGTCGCGATCAGACCGCCGCCGGGGGAGACGGTGCCGCCGCCGCCGCCGCTGCCGAAACCGCTCGTGACGCATCCGCGGGACTTGCGCGACGCGATCACCGCGCTCGCGAACGCGCACGCGACGATCGGCGACAGCGACGGCGTCCGCGCGTTGATGGACGAGCTCGCGCAGACGGGTGAGACTGCTTCCCATACGACCCCGTTCGCGTGGCGCGCGCCGTTCCTTAAGGACTTTTCCCGTCGTCACTCTTCACCCGCGCTTCCCTTTCAACATTTAGGGGTGGAGCCGGATATGTACGTGTTCAACGCGCTGCTGCGATCGGAAGCCGCCGAGAAAGCCGCGGCGGCGTCGAATATGAACGCGAAATCGACAGCCGACGGCGTCGGCGCCGCGACGGACGACGACGACGACGACGACGACGAGCGCGAGGTGGACGTCCATCGTCACAAAGGGTGGGGTGTGACCGACACGAAGCAGCCGTTACAAGACGCGGTGATGCGCGTGGAGAACGCGATGCGGACGATGATCGAGGGCGGGGTCGAACCCGACTTGCACTCGTTCATGGCTCTCCTCGGCGCGTACGCGAAGATTGGGGACATCGCGAGCCAGGGCGACGCGCTCGTGGGGATGCAGCAGCGGTCGATAACGCTCGATACTTGGGCGTTTAACACGCTTCTGCGAGCGTGCGCGGTGGCGTGCGACCTCGACTCGGCGATGAAAATTCGATCGCAGATGCGCGTCTCCGGCGTCGCGGCGGACGACATCACGTTCCTGCACCTCTACACCGCGTGCGCGCGCCGCGCGCGCCAAGTCGCGCAGATGCTCGGAGACGCTTACGCGGACGAGGAGACGACGGCGTCCGCGGGCGTAGTTTGGGACGACGACGGCGCGTGGGACGACGACTTCGGCCCGGGCGAGAGCGCGCGCGGTCGAAAAAGACGCGTCAAGGCGGAGTCGCACGCCGCGTTGACAGGGACGTTGATCGCGCCGCCCGCGATCGTCGGGGTCAAGGACGTCGCGTCGCTCGCGGCCGCGGCCGCGGCCGAGGGGATCTCGTCGATGCGAGGGATGATCGCGCGCGGCGGCGGCGCGGACGCCGACGAGCTCAAGAAGGCGTGTCCGTACGAAGCCGTCCGAGGCGATCTCGACGCCGCCGCGTCCGGTGGGTCCGGCGGGTCCGGCCGGCGGCGCGCCGTCGCGTCCGTGTCGAACCCGGGCCCGCGGGGCGAGCCCCCTGAGCTCGCGCGCGCGAGAAACGCGCTCTTCGCGTTCAGGGACGACATGACCGAGGCTGGCGTCGCGTTCACCCCCGCGTGCGCGTCGGCGCTCATAAACACGCTGGGGTCGCTCGGCGAGTTCGACGCGATGATGCAGGCGCGTTCTATCTCACACTGGTCCCCATACGACCGCGTTCGCGTGGTGAACGCCGATCCTCGAGGACTTTCTCTCCCGGTGGCGTGTCTCTCCGCCCAGGGTCCCTCGCTTTCAATCCCGACACACCGCGTTGCCTTTCAACTCCGCTTCTGACGCCTTTCGACTCCGCCTTTCGACGACGCAGTTTCTTCGATCGCCGCCGCCGGGGCTGGAGCCGAACGCGCGCATGTACACGAACGCGATCCACGCGCTCGCGCGATCGCAGCACCACTGGAGACGCGACCGCGGCGGTCGCTACCTCGGCAGCGAGGAAGACACCGGCCCGATCGCGGCGTTGAAGCTCGCGGACGAGATGATCGCCTCCGGGTTGAAGTTTCAGGTGCGTTCTATACACTGGTCCCCATACGACCGCGTTCGCGTGGTGAACGCCGATCCTTAAGGACTTTGCCCGGCGCGTCTCTCCGCCCAGCCCCCGCTTTCAATCCCCGCCCTCGATGTCTTTCAACGCCAACTGACGCCGTTGAACTCCGCCCCGACATTCGCTCGTATGGAACGACCCTCAGACGAACACGTTAAACGTCGTGTTGCACGCGTGCGGGAAGATGAAGGATCACGACCAGGCGATGTCGCGGTTCGACGCGCACGTCAACGACGGCGGCGAGGTAAACATGGACTCGTTCAACATGCTGTTCAAGTCCGCGCTGGAGATCAACGCGTTCGCGCAGCTCGCGGGGGAGATCAAGGCGTCGTACGACGAACACGTCGAGAGAGGCGACGCGCACTCGGGCGGATTTCAAAACCGCGCGATGCTCCCGAACGCCTTCACGGAGCAGATCCTTCGACGGACGGTGGCCAAGTCGCACGCGACGGACGCGCACGTCGCGCACGAGCTCTTGGTGCAGTTCGGGTTCGAGAAGCCGGACGAGATCGACGACGGCGCGTGGATGTCGTTGGACGAGCGCGCGGCGTTGAAGCGGGGCGGGGGAGGGGGGTCCTACGTCGGGCCGGGGAGTCGGAACGACTTGGACCGGTACGGCGACCTGAGCGACGAGGCGTTCGATGACGTCGATCGCGACGACGACGGCGACGACCGCGCGTCGACGGGGGATTGGGGGTTGGACGAGCACGGGGAGTGGGGGCCGCTTTCGTCGGACGACGACGACGCGAGCGGCGGCGAAAGTGAAAGCGGCGAAAGCGAAAGCGACGGCGACGGCGACGGCGACGGCGACGGCGAAAGCGACGGCGACGGCGACGCCCGGCGCGCGTCCAAACGGCGGTGGGGGCGCAAGAGCTGAAGAACGCGCGTGTGTCTCTTAAAAGCTCGAGAAGAGAACGCTCCCTTCCGATGAATTCGTCGTCGTTACACACGTCGCCCGGGCGTCTTCATTCATCACACCGCGAGCGTCACCCCAACCGGAGCGTGATCGCTGACGCCGACGGTGATCGCGTCCAGCACGAACCCGTCCACGACCTCCGCGACGTCGCACCTGCTCCCCCCGCTCAAGATGTCGTTCGACGCCACGAAGTAGTCCAACCGCAGCCCGCGATTCACCGGTCGGTTCCCAACGCGCTGGCTCCAGTACGTGAACCACCCGGTCGCGTCCGGGTGGAAGTGTCTGAGGGTCGTTCCATACGAGCGATTGTCGGGTTGGAGTTCAAAGGCGTCAGGTGGAGTTGAAAGGCGTCGAGGTCGGGGATTGAAAGCGAGGGGTGGGCGGAGGGATGCGCCGGGCAAAGTCCTTAAGGATCGGCGTTCACCACGCCAACGGGGTCGTATGGGGACCAGTGTCTAGAACGCGCCTGAACGTGTCCGACATCCCCGGCGGCGTCCCCGCCGTCGCCAACAGCTCGCCGAACGCGGCGCGCTCCTCCGGGGTCGTCCCCGCGCTCTTCTTCACGTGCGGCGCGCCGACGTTGTAGATGTCCGCGTCCAGATGCGCGACGTTGAGGTCGCCGCCGAAGACGACCGGCTTGGACGCGCACAGCGACGTCAAGTACGCGCGAACGTCCGCCTCCCACTCGCCCACGCGGAATCCGAGCCGGTCCAGTTTCATGCCTGATTGGTGGGCGTTCGATCGGTGGGCGACGTGGCGTGGCGGGAGGTGATGTGATTGGTTAGTTATTTGATGACGTGTACGTTTCATTGGACGAGAGAGAGCGACGGAGAGGGCGCCGGCGAAAGTCCTTAAGACACGGCGTTCACGACGCGAACGCGGTCGTACGGGAACCGGTGTGATGACAAGGACGCACCCGAGTTGGGGACGTACGCGAGCACGAGCCAGTGCGTCTCGTACTCCATCGTGAGCAGCCGCCCCTCGTCCACGTGCTTCCCGATCGCGTGGCCGTTCCCGCCGAGGCCTTCGACGACGCCGAGGAGCTTCGGTTTGGACGCGAGCGACGCGTCGGACGGCGGCGGGCGCGGCGCGGCGGCGACGAAGCCCGCGAGGGTGCCTTGTTTTTGTCGTCGCGCGTCGTCGTCGTCGCTCTTCGCGTCCCCGTCCCCGTCCCCGTCCCCGTCCCCCTCGATCGGCGCGCGCGCGATGACCGCGACGCCGCTGTACCCTTTCTTCTTCGTGCTCACCGCGAAGCGCACCGTCGGATACTCCGGCAGCAGCGTCTTGAGCTTCGTCGTGAGGTCGCTCACGTGCACGTCCTGGAGCTTGTGCTCCTGCAGGCAGAGCACGTCCGGTCGCTCGGCGTCTACGATCGCGCGGAGCGTCCCCGGGTTCTTCTCCATGAGCGCGCGCAGGCCGGCGACGTTCCACGCCAGCGCCTTGAACGTCGCGCGGCCGTCGGGGGTCTTCGTTTCGAGGGGTTGTAACCGCCGCGGCGCGGGCGTTTGCGGGAAGGTCCCCTCCGGGTACGGCGGCGGCTTCTTCGTCGCGGCCTTCTTCGCCTTCTTCGCCGCGGGAGGCTCGGACGGGTCCGGGGAGCCCTTCGCGGCGGCCGCGGCGGCGGCGGGGGAGGAGGAGGATCCCATGCGCGCGATGAGGCGTCTCGTCGGCGACTGCTGCGCGAATCGAACGAGGGCGGGCGACGACAGCGCCGCGCGCATAGCACAGTGCGCGATCGCCGCGCGAACAGAACGATCTGTTGTTGGTTCGTCCCGCGCGCGTTTCCAGATTTCATTCATCCGCCCGCCCCGAGGGTTCCGCCGCGGCCGGGCTCTCGCACTCGCCCGCGCGCGTCCCGACGATGGCGTGCTCGCGCGCGAGACTCGCGACGCTCTCGTCGCGCGGCGCGTCCGCGCTCCGCGGATCCTCCGCGTCGTCCTCGTCGGCGCGGCGCGCCCCCGCGGCGTGGAGGACCGCCGTCGCGACGCCCGCGAAGACGGTGCCCAAAAACGCAGGTAACAACATTCGAGCGATGGCGACCGGAGGGAACAACGTCGACGCCGCGAGGAGGAAAGCCGCGACGAGGGCGTACAACGCGCTCCCGATGAAGCTCGTGATCGTCAGCAAGGGCGGCGGCGCGAGCGTTGACGCCGCGTGCGGGGAGTGGGCGGACAAGATCCGACGCTACGCGCCCTTCGACGAGATCGTCGTCCGGCCCAATCCGAAGAACGCGAAGGACCCGCGAGCGCAGCTGGAGGCCGAGGGCGAGCGGGTCATGCGACACGTCGACGCGCGAGATTTCGTCGTGCTCATGGACGAGCGCGGGAAGGACCTGAGCTCGGAGGCGCTCGCCGCCGTGGTCGCGGACGTCGGCGACGGCGGGCACTCGGGGATCGTGTTCTGCGTGGGGGGGCCGTTCGGCCACGGCGACGCGGTGACGCGAAGGGCGGACGCGAGAGTGCGACTGAGCAGCATGGTGATGAACCACCAGGTGGCGAGGATCGTGCTGCTGGAGCAGGCGTACCGCGCGCACACGATATTGCGGGGGGAGCCGTACCATCATTGATGATTCGGGAGAGCGGGCTCGGAGGAGGTCCCGAGGGTTTATTAGGAATGGTTTGAAACTCCGGCTACAAAATAATGACGACGTCGTCGAGTCGACTCCTATGCCTACTACAGTACGGTACCCTCGCGCGTTCACTTCCGCTTCACGAGCAGCGCGCCGCTCTCGAGATGCGGCGTGTACGGAAACTGATCGAACACCGCGAACCGCTTGATCTCGTGCGTTTCCGCTAAGATCCTGCAGTCCTCCGCGAGCGTCTTCGGGTTGCACGAGATGTATATGATCCTGTCGAACCGCGACGCGAACTTGGACACCTCCTCGCCCATCCCCGCCCTCGGCGGGTCCACGAGGAGCGTCCTCAGATCGTACGCGCTCAGATCATCCAACCCCGCGTTCGTCATCCGCTCGTACTTCTTCCCGCTGTCCAGGACGAGGACGAGCTCCTCCGCGGAGAGTCTGACGACTTTCGCGTTGGTCGTCCCGTTCGTCTCAAAGTTTTCAACCGCCGCCGCGACGGACACTTTGCTCATCTCCGTCGCGAGGACGTTGAGATACAACGGCGCGAGCGCGACGGTGAAGTTGCCGTTGCCGCAGTACAGCTCGAGGAAGTCGTCGTCGCGTCGTCGCGGGCGCGCGCCGGCGGGACCCGACCCCGACCCCGGCGCGCGCGCGTCGTCGACGGAGACGTCCCTCGCCCACTCGAGCATCTTCTCGCACGTCCCGCTGTTCGGCTGCGTGAAGCCGCCCTCGAGCTGCTTGTACGTGAACTTCTCGCCGTCCACGGTGAGGGTCTCCATCACGAACGGGTTTCCGAGGACGATCTGGTGGGGCGACGCGACGTCAGAGAGAGAAGAGCGGAGGGGGGAGAAACAAAGAGAAGGCAAAAAAAAAAATCGCCGTCGAATTCCTCAGTGGGTGGTGCATGAACGTGGTCATCACCGCGCCGAGGCGCTAAGTAGATGATTCTATGGTATGATTCATGGTTTCTCGTCACCGGAACCGAACGAACGAACGAACGAACGAACGAACGAACGAACGAACGAACGAACGAACGAACGAACGAAACGCTGAGAGAGCGTTGAGCGTCGAGCGCCGCGCGAAACGAGCCGGCCGAACGCGAAAACGTCGCCGCGCGAACAAAACAAAACAGGACGAATCTCTCCACGAGACGCGCCTTTTGCTTCCTGCTCCGACCGATGACGCTGACCTTCATGCGCTGCCTCGCTTCCTCCGCGGCGGCCTCCCATGCCGCGTCCAACGGGCGGTGATACAGCATGCTCACCAGCGCGTCGTCCGTGCCGCTCGTCGTGAGAAAGTTCACCTGGAACAGCTTGCGACGCAGCGCCGGCTCGTCTTTAATCTCGCGCAGCACCTCCTTCATGAGCGAATTGATCCGCTCGCTGCCCATCGGGAACGTCTCGATCTCCACCGGCGTCTTCGGGTCCTCGTTGTCGAACATCGCCATGAACGACTTGTCCCCCGCGTGCCACACCCTGAACTCCGCGCGCATGCGAAAGTGATGCTTCTTCGGGGACTCGAACACCTCGATCTCGTCCGGGAGCGGCACCGCGATCTTCGCGGCTTCGATAGGTTTACCGCCGCCGGCGCCGTCGTCCCTCTCGGGCGACGCGTCGAAGCACGCGCGCGCGTCCGCGATCTTGACGTCCAGCTCCGCGCGGTACGTCTCCGGTCGCACCTCGACGTTGAGACCCGCGCGGACTTTCGTCGGGTCGTGCGGCTTCTTCGGCTTCTTCGCGCCTCGGAAGCCGTGCGCGAGCGGTCGCGCCGCCGATCGCTTCGGCGGATGCGACGACGACGCGGCGGCGCCGCTGAGGAAGCGACGCGCGGTCGCGCGGAGGCCCGCGGCGCCGCTCGCGGTCGCGCGCATCGCCTCGTCGTCTCGCGGGTCTTCCCGCGCTTTCGCCGTCGACCCGGCCGGCGCGCGGGGCATATTGACCCCGCCGCCGCGTCGCCGCGCGAAGACGACGACGTGCGAATCGAGTGAGTCCCGACGCGCGACGAGTCAGCAGGTCGCGCCGGAGATCGATCTGATCGTCATCAAAAGGACTCGCGCTCGTCGCGTCGTCGTCGTCAGACCAGATGCGCGCCGGCTTCTTCGGCGCGCCGCCGCCGAACCGGCGCGATCCTCCTCCGCGCGAACCCACGCCCGCGCGGACGGACCACACCCTCGGCGCCGCCTCCCTCGACGCGCTCGTGCGCTCGGAGTGGCCGCACGGGCACCTCTACGTCCCGAGCTCAGGTGCGTTCTATACACTGGTCCCCATACGACCGCGTCGGCGTGGTGAACGCCGATCCTTAAGGACTTTTGCCGTCGTCTCTCTCCGCCCACCCCTCCCTTTCAATCCCCGCCCCTATGGCGCCTTTCAACTCCACCTGACGCCTATGAACTCCACCCCGACATCGCTTTGTATGGAACGACCCTCAGACGGCCACGACGACAACCTCATCGTGCTCCTACACGGCCGCGGCGACTCCGAGCGGCCGTTCGCGTCGCTCGCGCGCGCCATGAAGCTCCCGTGCACCGCCGCGCTCGCGCTGCGCGGGCCGCGGGAGGTGCCGTTCACGGACGGCGGCAGGGAGTGGTTCGCGCGAACGGACGACGCGACGTACGAGGAGATTAACCCGCTCGAGGTTGTCGTCGACGCCGTCACGGGTGAGGAAACGCCGACGCTGCGACGCGTCGAGTCGTTGGACGCCGTCGTCCATCGCGTCGCGTCGCTGATCGACGCGTTGGCGCCGGTTATGAGTAGTAGTAACTCCGGCGGCGCGACGCAGGTGGGCGGCGCGTTCGGACGACGGTGGCGACCCGACCGCGTGCACCTCTTTGGATTCTCCGACGGCGGCGTCGTCGCGCTCGAGACGGCGCTGCGACGCGTCGGCGACCGGAGGCTCGGCGGGTGCGCGGTCGTGTGCGCGGCGCTGCTTCCCGAGGTGCTCTCGGGGAAACGCGCGCGCGGGGACGAGGAGGCGTGCCTGGAGCGGTTCCCGAGGGACGCGCGCGCGCCGACGCCGTTGACGCTCACGGCGGGCGAGTTGGACGACGTGACGACGGCGGCGGCGGTGACGGCGACGGCGGCGTTCGCGCGCGCGAGGAACCCCGGGTGCGTCGCGGACGTGCACGTCGTCCCGGGGAAAGGCCACGGGATGATGAAGGACGCGTGGGAGACGCGGAAGTTGATGGCGTTCTGGGGAATGACGCTCGCGATCCGACCGAGAGGCGCGATGGGACGGGACGTCATCGAGGTTGGCGGCGACGGCGGACGCGGCGACCGCGTCGTCTCGGTGACGCGCGAGAGGTTCCCGGGGGACGACGACACGGAGGTCACGACGAGCTTGGGCGAGTGTTATCCTTACCAGGTCGTTCGAACCGCGATGGACGAGAAACTCCCGGCGTGGGACGTGGACTGACGAGCGACGTCGCGTACGTAGCGTAGTCGTAGCGGAAGGTAGCTCTTTGTAGGAAGCGTTGGGTACGGTACGCGTAGTCGTCGTCGCGTCGTCCTTCACGTCGTGTCTACTCCCATCGCGCGATCTCGCCCAGCAGTCGCTCCAACTCCTTCGGCGCGCGCCTCCCCGCCGCGATATCCGCCTCCAGCGCGCTCGCCTCCCCGCCCGCGCCGGTCGCGGCCGCCTCGAACGCCCGCGTCTCCTCGTCGCTGAGGGTCGTTCCATACGAGCGAATGTCGGGGTGGAGTTGAAAGGCGTCAGATGGAGTTGAAAGGCGCCGAGGTCGGGGATTGAAAGCGTGGAGTGGGCGGAGAGATGCGACGGGCAAAGTCCTTAAGGAACGGCGTTCACCACGCCGACGCGGTCGTATGGGGACCAGTGTATAGAACGCACCTAAACGGCGGGTTCAACATCTCGCGCGCGCGATCCGCGCCGTACGCGTCGACGAATGCGAAGAGCGTCGTCTGAAACACGTCCGCGAGCGCCGCCGCCGCGCGCGCGGCATCTCTCAACCCCGGGACGCGCGGAGGCTTCGACGTCGCCCTCGCGCCGACGCCCGGCGCGACGCTCGTGCCCGCGCGCGCGCACTCCTTGCACGCGTGCGTCGCCGCGAGGAGGACGCGGAACGCCGCGCCCGCGTCTGGCATCCTTCGACGTCCCGCCGCCGCCGACGACGCCGCGCGCTCGATCTCCATGCCTTCCGGGGAGCACGCGAGCGCGGCGGCCGCGCGCGCGCCCCACGCCGCGAGCTGCCCGTGCGCCGCGAGCGACGCGCGCGCGTCCGCGCACGCGACGCCGACGGAGTCCATCTGTCGACGAAGCGCCGCAGACGCGTCGTCGTTCCGGGCGAAGAAATTGTTCAGAAAGCCGACGTCGTCGCCGGCGTTCGCGCGCGCGCGGCCGTCGCCGTTCATCCCGTGGGAGCCGTTCATCCCGAAGAACCCCCATCCCGGGCCGCCGTCGATGCCGGCGACGTCGCCGGCGAGCGGCGCCGGCGACGGTTTCGGAAGCGGCGCGACGGCGTCCATCGGCATCCCCCAGTCGTCCGCGAGCATGCTCCACGCCGCCGCGTTGGCGCGGTCGCCCGCGCCGACGCCGACATCTCGAAACGGCTCGCGCGAAGACGTTTTCTGGCCCTGATGAGAAGACCTCGCCATCGCCCGCGTCTCCATCGTCCTCGGAGAAGAAGAAGAAGAAGAATAAGACGACGACGACCCCTTCCCTCCGTCGCGCCGCGCGTCGCCGAGACCACCTCCTCCTCCGCCGCCGCCGCCGCCGTTCTCGCGCACCCTCACGCCCGCGGGGCCGCCCGTTCGCAGCCGAACCCCCGCGTTCCTCCCGGCGTCGCGTCGACGATCGGATGGCAGGAAGAACCCGCCGCCGACGCCGCCGAGGCCGACGCCGCCGCTCCCGAGTCCGCCACCCCCCGCGCGAAGACGACCCGTCGAATGCGACCCCTCCGACGCCTTCTCCGCCGCGTCCAACGCCGCGCGGATCGCCGCGACGACGCTCAGCACCGGCGCGAGCGCCGCCGCGAGCGCGGGAGCGTACGCGCCGTCCTCCGCGCCGGCGGCGATACGCCCGCGCCGCGACGACTCGTATCTTCCATCGTACTCGTACTCGCCGCCGCCTGAGGGTCGTTCCATACGAGCGAATGTCGGGGTGGAGTTGAAAGGCGTCAGTTGGAGTTGAAAGGCGCCGAGGGCGGGGATTAAAAGCGAGGGGTGGGCGGAGAGAGACGCCGGGCAAAGTCCTTAAGGAACGGCGTTCACCACGCCGACGCGGTCGTATGGGGACCAGTGTATAGAATGCACCTGATCCGTCGTCCCCGAGCAGCAGCCGCCGGCGACCGCCGCCGCCCGTCTCCGCGACGTCGCACAAGTCGCGATACGCCGCGTGCTGCGCGAACGGCTTGTCCGCGCGCGTCAGCGACGCGAGCAGCGGCGCGGACGCGACGACCGCGCCGCGCTCGAGCGTCTGCGGGAGAAACGCGTAGGGTTCCGTGTGCACGACGCGCGCCATCGCCCGCGCGAACGTCACGGAGGACGCGACGACGACTCCGGCGAGCGCCGAAGGCGACGCGAACGACGCAACCAGCTGCGGAGTTGAAAGGCGTCGAGGGCGGGGATTGAAAGGCGTCAGTTGAAGTTGAAAGGCATCGCGGGCGGGGATTGAAAGCGTGGGGTGGTCGGAGAGATGCGACGGGAAAAGTCCTTAAGGATCGGCGTTCACCACGCCGACGCGGTCGTACGGGAACCAGTGTAAATATGAACGCACCTCCGTCGCGAGCGCGCCGACGAGCGTCACGACCCCGAGCGCGAACCCTACCACACCGCCGCTCGTGAGCGATCCGTTCTCGTGCGTCGTCGTCTCGACGAGCGCTCGGACGACGCACGCGATCGCGGCGAGCTTCGCGGCGTCGGCGACGGCGCGCGGGAGCGACCGACGCGCGCGGAGCCACCGCGACCGCGCCGCGCCCGGCGGGTAGCTCGCGTCGCTCGCGTCGCTCGCGAGGTGGTCGCCGAAGAGAACGACCCCGAGGACGCACCCGTGCGTCGCCGCCGCGCGGATCGGATCCGTTGCACCAGGGTCGGTCGCGGTCATATGTTCGGAGCCGGCGGCGGCGGCGCGCGACGCGAACGATGCGAACGCGACGCATCCCGCCGCGCACGACGCGACGTGCGCGAGCAGGAGCGTCGCCGTCTCCGCGGTCGCGCGCGCACGCTCGCTCGCCGTCTCGCCCGCGTGCTGCGCGCGCACCCACCGCGAGCTCGCCCACCCGGGGGGGAACAGGTGGTTCGGCGCGCGCCGCGCCGCGACGTACGCCGCCGCGTCGTCGTCGTCGTCGATCGTCCCCGGCGACGCGCCCTCGCGCGCGCGCGAGAAGACGAGCCACGGATCGCACCCGCCGCGCTGCGCGCGCCGCGACGTCAGCCGAAGCGGCGCGGGCGACGGTCGCAGAAAGCGCGTCGTCGTGGCGACGCACGGGAGCGTCGTCAGCGCGTAGAGCAGCGCGAAGGCGACGCGCGGGATCCACGCGTCGAGCGCGACGAGCGGCGCGAGTCTCGAGATTTGGGACGTCGCGCGCGCCGTCGCGGCGAGGAGCGCGGCGACGAAAGCGAACGCGGAGGACCAGACCCCGACGGCGATCGAGCGCCACCCGAGGAGTTCGTCCACGTCGCGTTCGTACCACGCGTGGTCCATCGCGCGCGCGGGGTTGGGGTGGGGGCGGCGCGCGAGTCGAGGATGGATGGCGCGAGGCGAGCAACGAACACTTTGAACGTTGCGTTTTTCAGACGGAGGGCGTGTTTTTCGCTTTTGATCGGCTCTTGCGATGCAAATACCCTTTCACATGCAACATTTTTTATCGGACCCCCCCGATCGATTTGATCGATGGTCGGTCGTCTTTCGCCGTCCTTCGTCCACTGCAGCAGTCCTAAAAGAAGAAGAACGATGACACCGCGATATCCCCCGCCGCGTCGTCAGACGCTCGAGGCGCGGTGAATCGTTCGACGCGCGCGACCTCGCGACTCCGCGGCGGCGACGATGACTATGGAAGCGGTGCGTCCCGCTCGCGATATCCCCGAACCCGGCCGCGGGCGACGCCCGCGCGTCGCGAGCGTCCGCGTCGCCGTCCCCGTACTTAATTGGGAACACGCGACGACCCGCGAAATTCGTCGTCGTCCACGCCGAGAAGGTCCATCCATCCCTCGCCGCCCTTGCCTCTCGCGCCGGACCTGACCGCCTCGCTCGCGCCCTTCCCCGCGCGCCCTCTTTATCCCCGCAGATCAAAGATCGCGTGTACAAGCACCGGATCCGCATCCAGGACTTCTTCGCGGACTACGACAAGCTCCGGAGAGGACGCATCTCGCAATCGCAGGCGCGTCCGTCCGTCATCGTCACGTCGCGGCGATCGACCGCGACCGTCTCGTCCTCGTCGGCCGCGCGCTCCTCCGCCGCCCGCCCCGCCCCGCCGTCCGTCGCGTCGTGCTCGAACCCCTCCCCTCCCCTCCCTCACGACCGCCGACTGACCCGCCGCGTCTCGTCTCGTCTCGTCTCGCCCGCCCGCCGCGCGCCTTCTCTCGATCAGTTCGCCGCGGCGCTGTCCGTCGCCGGGTTCAACTTTAACGCGAGATCCTACGCGGCGCTCGCGAGCGCGTACCCGTCGTCGGACGCGGTGTTTTCCGTCGCGTACAAGGCGTTCTGCGACGACGTGAACGCCGTCTTCACGAAGAAACTCCTCGAGCGCACGCCGCTGGAAGACGTGGACAAGGAGCCGAGCGAACTCCTCGACCCGTTGCGGTTCAGCGTGCGCAGAGGCGGTGAGACTGCTCCCCGTACGACCCCGTTCGCGTGGTGCACGCCGTTCCTTAAGGACTTTTCCCGTCGTCACTCTTCACCCGCGCTTCCCTTTCAACGTTTGACCTGTTAGACGTTCGACTGACCGATCGCTTCACAGGCTCCTTCCCGGCGGGCGACGACGCGGAGGACTCACCGGGCGCGGGCGACGATGAGATTGACGAGAGGCTCGCGGCGGCGCTGGAGAGGGTGACCGACCTCGCGAAGACGCACAGGATCTACGTGAAGCAGTTCTTCGACGACGCGGCGAAGAATCAAAACTCGCCGATGCGCGTGAATCACGTGACGCTGACGCAGTTCAAGCGCGCGATGCTGACGCACGTCGCGAGGGATCTGTCAGGCGCGTTCTAGACACTGGTCCCCATACGATCGCGTCGGCGTGGTGAACGCCGATCCTTAAGCACTTTCGCCGGCGTGTCTCTCCGCCCAGGGTCTCTCGCTTTCAATCCCCGCCCTCGACGCCTTTCAACGCCACCTGACGCCTTTCAACTCCACCCCGACGTTCGCTCGTATGGACCCTCGACCCTCAGAGGCGGACGTGGAGGTCATCGCGCGCGCGTTCACGGACGAAGGGATGGTCAACTACGCCGCGTTCGCCGCGACCGTGGACCCGAAGGAGCCGCTGTTTCATCCGTACTCGTTGTCCGCGCGAGCGGCGCAGGCGGCGGCGGCGGCGGTCGCCGCGGGGGCGTGAGCGACGGCGAGCGACGACGGCGCGAGGAGGGCGTCGGCGAACCAGACGCGGACCGAACGATTCGATTTCCAAAAGAAAGAATACTTCCGTCGTAATTAGTAATGTAAGGTTACATACAGTACTCAAATCACGCCATGCTCATGGACGTGAACTGCTCTATGTGATCGTAGTGCCGCATCCCGCGCACGATGTGATCCTCCAGAGTCGGCACCGTCGCGCGCATCTCCATGAGCGCGTTTTTATCCAGCACCAGCGCCTCCGTCCGCTCTTGCGCCACCACCGTCGACGCGCGCGGCTGCCCGGTGAGCAACGCGAGCTCGCCAAAGTGCGCGCCCGGGCCGTAGCTCCGCAGCACCCGCTGCGGATGCACCGGCGCGGCGCCGCCCTTGAGGTTCTTCCACAGCGCGCCGGTCTCGACGTCCGTCTCCTTTCGAACCGCCACCGCGAGGCCGCTGAGGAGGATGTAAAACTTATCCGCCGCGTCGCCCTGCCGCGTGATCTTCGCGCCGGGCTCGAACGTCACCCTCGCGCACCGCTTCGCGAGCAGCGCGCGCTCGAACCCGTCCAGCTCCGCGAGCAACGGTACGCGCTCGAGCTCACGGTCGAACCGGAGTCGTCGCCACATCATCTCCAGCTCGGTCGTCGCGCGCGTTCTCACGTGGAAGACGTTCTCGGGCGTGCCCCGCGTCGCCACCTGAGAGTCGGTCGGGGTGGAGTTGAAAGGCGTCAGATGGAGTTGAAAGGCGTCGAGGCCGGGGATCGAAACCGAGGGGTGATGGGCGGAAAGAGACGCCGGGAGATAAAGTCCTCAAGGAACGGCGTTCACCGCGCGAACGAACGCGGTCGCACGGGGACAGGCGCGATGAGATGGGACGCGCCTCGTACGCGACGCGATCGACGATGAGACACCGCGTCTTCTCGCTCGTGCACACCACGGACGCGCGTCGCGGCTCGTCCACGAGCAGCGCTTCCTCGCCGAACGAATCCCCCGCGCCTATCACGGTGTCGTGCACGAACCAGTCGTCCGCGAGGAGCGCGGAGGACCCTCGCGCGCCGACGGCGCACGGCGACGACTCGTCCAGCTTCATCGTCGACCCGGGGCGGTCTCTCCGACGCTCCCTCCTCCGGTCGTCGTCCGCCCAATCCAAGTCCTCCTCCTCGTCCAGGCCCACTCTCGCGCGCGCGGTGCCGCGCAGGACGTAGTACATCTCTCGGTCGTCTGCGTCGCCCTCGAGCACGATCCTCTCGCCGCGTTTAAACGTCTGCGTCCGCACGCCGTGCGCGAGCTTATCTCGCTCTTCGTCCGACAGCGTGCCGAAGATGGGCACGCGCGCCAGCTGCTCCTTGTTCCGTCGGTGCAACACCCGCCGCTCCATGCCCGCGATCGTCTCCAGGAGCGCGAACATGAGCGCGTAGTGCGGCGCGGTGCGGAAGAAGTGCGCGCGCGAGCCGCGGTAGAGCGCCCACGGCCCCTCGCGCAGCACGATGAATCGAAACGCCTTGATCGTGTCTCGATGCAGGTGCGGCTTCAGGTAGACGTACGCGCGGCTCGTGTCGATCGGCTGCATCACCGCGACCGAGGCCGCGGCGGATAACACCCCGGAGATGGCGCCGAGCACGGGCGACCCCGGGGTGAGCACGTGCGACGAGACGAGCCACTCGGACGCGAGCGACTGCACGGTGAGGTTAACCGAGCTCCCGAGCATGTCCCTCAAGACGGACGCGCCGACGCCCTTGTAAAACGTCCCGACGCCCTCTTTCCTCGCGATCGATCGCATCGCTTGCGTGAACCCGGTGTACTCCGACAGCGCCGCGGGGACGTGCATGCGCGTCTTGACCAGGTCGAAAGGGTTCGAAGACACCGCGCCGATGGCGCCCGTCAGCGTCCCGGCGACGAATCGTTTCCACGCGGGCGCGGGCGCGTCCGGGTCGCGATGCAACGCGCCGAGTATGGGCAAGAACAGCCCGATCCTGAACATGTTCTTGCTGCTCTCGCGGATCATCGCGACCGGGAGGCCGCGGTACAGCCCGGGCCACAGCCCTTCTTGTTTGCAAACGATGCGCAGCGCGTCGACCGCGCTCTTGCCGTACTTGCCCCCCGGCAGCTGAGGGTCGTTCCATACGAGCGAATGTCGGGGTGGAGTTCAAAGGCGTCAGAAGCGGAGTTGAAAGGCATCGCGGTCGGGGATTGGAAGCGAGGGGTGGGCGGAGAGATGCGCCGGGCAAAGTCCTTAAGGAACGGCGTTCACCACGCCGACGCGGTCGTATGGGGACCAGTGTATAGAACGCGCCTGAGCGATCGTCTTCGCGCGGTCGACCGGGTTCGTGCCGATCACCGCGATCGAGGACGCGAGCCCGGCGTTCGGGATCGTGATCCACTGCGGGAGCGAGATCTTCAGCGTCTGGCCCGTGAAGTCGCCGCTGCGGGTGGTGGGACGGAGGCGAGGGGGGGGGGGTATGGGGGGGGGGGGGGAGGGCGTCGGCGATCGATCATCGATGCGCTTTTCTCTTCTTTTCGAAACCCGAGTCTCTTTCGTGAACGACGGAAAGGGCGGCGGCGACGCGGCGCGCGGAGCGACGCGGCGGCGGCGCGAGGAGGCGGCGGGAGCGCGCGGGCGCGAAGGCGCGCACCTCGGCGCGTTTCGTCCTCGCAGCGACGGCGACGCCTTCGCGCGCCGCTTGCGCGCTTTCGCGTCGCCCGCCGTCATCGTCCTCCGCGTCGTCCTCCGCGTCGACGACGGCTACCGAACCCCCCCGCGCGAATGAAAAAAGCGACCGACGCGCTCGACGCCTCCGGGGCTCGCGGTTTCGAGCCCGCGCGGCGACGGCGCCGGGGTCGCGTCCGCGCGCCCCCGAGGTCGCGATCCGACGGCGCGCGCGAGTTCGCTCGCGCGGGTCCGCGTCGGCGCGCTACGCTATGGCGGGGGGAATGGGTTCGCGACGAGGTTAACTTGGAACCGAGGTTTTATCCCTTTCGCTGGCGCGCGCGCGCGGTCAAACCGTCAAAAAGCCAGCAAAAAGCGCGCGACGACCGATCATCGCGATCGCGATCGTCGCTGTCGGCAGGGGGGAACAGAGATCTGGCAGCGCGGGTCCCTCCCTCCTCCCCACACCGAGCGCGCGCGGCGGAAGGCGACGCCACCGCGATCGCGCGCGTCCCGGACATCGCGCGCACGGATCAGCCGCGGCGTCGATCGTCGCGCGCGTCTTCGTCGTCGTCGTCGGAGCGACGGCCGCGTCCCACGAGGAGGGTCGGCGTTTGAAAACCACCCATCGTCATGGCGTCGTTCAATTTCGGCGCGGCCGCCGCGCCCACGCCCGGCGCGGCCGCCGCGCCGTCGACGCCGCTGTTCGGCGGCGGCGGCATATTCGGCGGCGCCGCCACCCCGACCACCGGCGGCAACATCTTCGGCGGCGCCGCGCCGGGCACCGCGCCCGCGACGGGAGGGTTCGGAGGAGGCGCGCCGACGACGCCGTCGCTGTTCGGTCCCGCGCCGGGGACCGCGCCCGCGACGGGCGGGTTCGGAGGAGGCGCGGCGACGCCGTCGCTGTTCGGCGGCGTCCCGCAGCAGCAGCAGCAGCCGCAGCCGCAGCCGCAATCGCAGCCGCAGCCGCAGTACCCGCAGAGCGCGCCGCGGCGGTACGACTCGCTCCTGGACGGCGACGCCGCGCGCGGAGACCGCTACGGGCGCTTCGCGATCGACCCAGATCCGCGCGGCCCGGACGCGTCGTTGGTAGAAGATCCGTACTACGACCGCCGCGGCGCTCGCGGGCCCGCGTCGGCGTCGCGACCCTTCGCGCCGATGCTGTTCCGCTCCTCCCCGAGCGACCGCCGAGGAGACCCGCGCGGTCACGACGGGGGGGACCCGTACGCGTATTCGCGCGGAGGAGGAGGAGGAGGATACTACCCCGAAGATCCTCCGCACTCCGGATACCACGGCGACCGCGGCGGCGCCACCCCGGGCGACGGGTGGGGAAGCCGCCGGCGGAGCGCGGGTCGAGGCGGTTACAATACCGCCGGAGGGGGCCAGGGGTATTTCTCCGGCGGCGTCGGCGGCGGGACGCTGCACACGCCGTCCACGCGCGGGTTGCTCTTCTCTGGGAACACCCCGAGCGGCGCGAGCGGCGGGACGGCGCGTCGAGTGTTCGGCGGACGAGGTGAGACTGGTTCCCATACGACCCCGTTCGCGTGGTGCACGCCGTTCCTTGAGGACTTTTTTTCCCGTCGTCACTCTTCACCCGCGCTTCCCTTTCAACGTTTGACCGGTAAGACGTTCGACTGACCGATCGCTTCACAGGCTCCTCCGCGAAGGGCGACGGCGCGGGCGGCGACGGCGCGTCGCCGAAGGACGACGGGCACGTGGGGACGCCGTGGTCGAAGGGGCGGCGCAGAAGCCCGCGTCTTCACGCGAGCGCCGCCGACGCCGCGCACACGCCGCCGCAGGGTGTTACGGCGGACATCGGGAACGACTGCTGGGTCACCGTCTTCGGCTTCGCGCCCGAGAAGGTGACGTCGGCGTTGCGAGAGTTTCAGAGGGACGGCGACGTCGTCTTCTTCGACGCGTTCGACGACGGAGAGAAGGCTTCCAGCGCCGCGAACTGGACGCACGTCAGGTTCGCGACGAAGGAGGGCGCGCGCAGGGCGCTGCTGAGGAACGGCACGATGGCGGGCGGGAGCATCGTGGGGGTGAAGCCGCTGGACGACGCGACGCGGGCGATCGTCGAGGCGCGGCACGGCGGCATCGGGCTCGCGAGCGGCGGCGGCGGCGGCGGGAGCGTCGTGCGGCCGAGCGGCGGCGCGGCGGCGAGCGCGCGGCCGCACAGGGTCGCGCCGACGCGCGAGGGCGTGTCGCTGCAGCCGCGGAGGAGTTTCTGGGGGAAGGTTGTTGAGTTCATCTTCGGGATGTGACGCGACGACGACGACGACGACGACGACGACGCGCGCGAGAAGCGTGTCTGACGCGTTCGTTGATAAAATGTTTAGTAGCGACGAATAAACGCGAGCGCCCGAGCGCCGCTCTCGCTACAACAGCCCGTCCTTCGCGAGCTTCTCCAGCGCCAAGTTCGCGGTCACTATCGACGGCACCATCATGTCCCCCCCCCTCATCAACTCCCTCAGCCTCTCCACGCTCACGCGCTCCGTCGTCATCGAAAACTCCTCCGCGTCCCTCGCGTGCGCCGTCGCCGCGTCCGCCGCCGATAGCGCCGTCGCGTCCACGGCGAGAAACGGCTTGAACCGGTTCGCGCACCACTTGCTCTCCAAGAACCCCGGGTGCCCGCCGCTCTCGACGTTCGCCTCGCCGATGTCGCCGCCCTTCACCAGGCACTCCACGACGCGCTCACCGTCCAGGCGCGCTTCCTCCGCGAGCTCCGCGACGGCGGCGTCGCGAAGCGTCGCGTGCCGCGTCGGATCGAACCCACCCGTGGGGAGCGAGACGCAGCGTCCGTTCGTGCCCTGGCAGTACTCCGACACGATCGTCACGGTCGCGTCCGCGCTGTGGAACGGGAAGACGACCGCGAACTTGAAGTCGTTGCGAGGGTGGCCGACGACGTCGTACGAGACGCGCGTCGAGACGGCGGAGGGAGGATCGGCGTCCGACGACGTGTACGACGCGCGTCGGTCGAACTCGACGACGCGGTCGAACACGGTGAGGTAGCGGCTGTGCGCCGCGGTCTCGGACACGATCTTCCCCATCGCGCGCTCGCGGTCGCGCGTGCCCGTTGGGAGCCTGGGTTCGAGATCGCCGGAGGAGGAGGAGGAGGACGCGGCGCGGCGATCGGCGGGGACGCGGGGACGCCCTCCTCGCGAAGCGGTCGCGCCGCGACGCCGCGACGACGACGACGACGACGACGACGACGACGACGACGCGACGGGAGCGCCGAGCGCGAGGCGCGCGCGATGGAGGACGACGCGCGCGGAGACGAGGCCGCGGAGCGCCGCGCACGCGGGCATGCACCACCGGGGCGCGCGAGGCGTCCGCGCGTCGCGGTGTGGCGCCGGCGCGACGCGCGCGCGAACAGAATCTCGTCGATCGATCGTCTGCCATGCCAAAAGTCGCGACTCGAGGCGCGCGAGGTAACCCTACCGCATCAGAACACATGGCGCTCCGCCGGACCCTCGCCGCGGCCGCGACCGTCTGGTCGAACCCGCGCGCATCGCGCGCGGTCTTCGCGCGCGGGCTCGCGGGAAGCGTCGAGAAGTTCAAGGAAGGTCCCCCGGTCCAGAGCAAGCGCCCGGCGTACGTCGACGGCGTGGACACCCCGCACACGGCCAAGTGGATGGTGCGCTATGAAAAGCGCCGCTCGGCTCGATCACCGCGCGTCGCGTCGTCGTCCGCGCGCGCGCGTCCGCGATCGCGCTCGCGCCGCCGCCCCGCACGCGACGACGGTTTTGAACCCTGAACCGTGAACCCTGACCCCACGCCCGTAACCCCACGATCGATCGCATCGCAGGAGGACGAAACCAAGCGGCCGCCGTCGGAGATGATCGCGGAGGTGCCCCCCATTCCCATCCACGCGGACCGCGTCTCGTGCGCCACCAAGGGCGCGTGTCACGATCTGTACGGCGAACGGATGGGCCTCGGCGCGCCGAACACGTACTACCAGCTCAACAGCACGACGCCGGAGAACCCGGTGAAGTGCAAGTACTGCGGACTGCGGTTCTACGGCGTGCACTGAGAGACCGCCCCGCCCCCGGGGGGGTTCCCCGCGCGGGACGGAGGGACCGGAGGGATAGCCTCGTGAGACCTCGGCCCGGCTCGCGCGTGTACATCAATCAATCACTACGATCTGTTCGACGACTCGACGAACGCTCCTTACTCCCACCACTCGCGCTCCCCGCGCGTCTCCGCGCGCTTCTTCTTGTCCTCCTCCGCGCGCGCGTCCGTCGCCGCGAAGAGCGCGGCGAGGTCGCCCGTCGTCACCGCGGCGCCCGGGGGCGGAGGCGGCTCGATCGCGTTTGGTATTTTTTGGTTTTTCGGCGCTTCGTCTCTCGGCGCGGCCGCCGGCTCCTCCCCGCGCGCGGACGCTTCGACGTCGTCGTCTTCTTCCCGCCGCGAAGTGCGTCTCCGCGTCGTCGTCGCCGCCGGACTCGTTCGGAGCGGTGGCGTCCTACTCGGTATCCGCGGCGGCGGCGGTTCGGCCGCGTTCGCCTCCGCTTTCTCCGCCGCCTCCGCTTTCTCCGCCGCCTCCGCTTTCTTCGCTTCCTCCGCTTTCTCCGCCGCCTCCTCCTCCTCCTTCCGCCTCGCCGCCTCGACGCGCGCGCGCGCGCGTTCCAACAACTCGCGCTCCATCCCGCGCAGCGCGATGCCCTGCGCGCGAACCGCCAACTCCGCGGCGCGCTCGTCGCCGTCCATCCCCGTCGCCTTCAACAGCGACGGCGCCGCGAGCGCGAGCGCGGAGAGGCGGTCGTCGTCCGCGCCGAGAAGGGAGCCCAGCGTGGGGGGGTCCCTGAGGTGCGTCTCGAGCTCGACGAGCGCGTCCGAGACGTCGCTCGCGTCTTTCGCGTGCGCCCAGAAGAACGTGTTAGACTTCCCCGCGCCGCCGCCGAGGGTGAGGAAGAACGCCCTGCCGCTCGCGTCGTTCCATAGGAGCGATGATATCGGGGTGGAGTTCAAAGGCGTCAGTTGGAGTTGAAAGGCATCGCGGGCGGGTATTGAAAGCGAGGGGTGGGCGGAGAGAGACGACGGGAAAAGTCCTTAAGGATCGGCGTTCACCACGCCGACGCGGTCGTATGGGAACCAGTGTGAACATGAACGCGCCTGCCGCTCGCGTCGTTCTTCAAAGGGTGCGTGATGGACGGCCGCGCGAGCTTGGACTCGCACGTCGACCCGTCGTCGTCGTCGTCGTCGTCATCGAAAAACGGCGAAGATGTGGACGTTACGCCGTCGCTTTCGCGTTTAAAAACACGCGTTTCACCACTCGACGCCGCCGCCGACGCGCGGCCGCGGTCGCGCCGCGCCGCCGCTCGAAACCGCGCGGCGCGTTTGGCGTTGATCACGCACAGCGACGCACTCTCCGGGTCGTTCCATACGAGCGATGATATCGGGGTGGAGTTGAAAGGCGTCAGTTGAAGTTGAAAGGCGCCGAGGGCGGGTATTGAAAGCGAGGGGTGATGGGCGGAGAGAAACGATGACAAACGTCCTTAAGGATCGGCGTTCACCACGCCAACGCGGTCGTATGGAGACCAGTGTATCGATAGAACGCGCCTCCGTCGCGAACTCCCCGCGCCGCGACTTCTTCTCGTACGTCAGTCGCAGCGACCCGTCGAGGTCGAGCCACAGGCACACGCTCGCGCTCACGCCGATCGCGCTCGAGTCCGGGACGAGCCTGCACTTCCCGCGCATTCGGCCCGGTGACTCGCCGAAGCACTGCAGCATCTTCCCCGCGCCGATTCGGACGAGCGGCGCCTCGAGCGCTCGCAGCGCGCGCGGAAGCAAGCCGCCGTCCACGACGAGCGGGATGCGCTCTCTGTGTATCGTCGTCGCGGGGGGACGCAGATTCGGACTCGGCGGCGCGACGACGTCGCGGCGTCGGCGCGGCGGCGTCGGACGCGTCGGACCACCCGCGTCGCGGTCGTCCCCCAGCGCGACGGCGACGTCTACGTTCACGTTGAGCAGGTCGCCGAGCGCGTTCTTCGCGTCGAGGCGTTCGCGCGCGACGCCCTCGGGCGCGTCCTCCCTCGCGTGCTGCCCGCCGCACGCGCCGGGGCCGGAGACCATGACGACGCCGCCGGCGTCGCGGCGCAAGCCTGAGAGGTCGGACACTCCGCGCGTCGGGTCGCTCGCGGCGGCGTCCGCGGCGTCGCGATCGCTGAGATCGTGCGTTACCTCTTCGCCTTCTTCTTCTTCTCCGCGGTCGTCGTCGTCGTCGTCGCTCGGGGACGACGCGTCGTCTTCGCCGTCTCCGATCGCGCGCTCGTCCTCGTCCTCGCCGCGCCATCGCAGGACGCAGTGCGCGTCGGCGTCGTCGTCGGGCGATAGCATCGCGATCGCGACGGCCACGGCGACAGCTCGCGCGCGCGGCGCGGTGTCCTCGGACGTTCCGAGCGTTTTTTCCCGCGGCTCGGAGAAGCGAAGCGCGACAAGACGCGACCGCCACCGGCGGCGCCTCCGTCCACGTCACGAGGGCACCGCCCCCCTCGACGTCACTCCGCCTCGCGCGCTTCTCACCACGCACGCGCGCGGTCTCGATCGAGTCCGGACGATCGTAAACGCCTTCACGATGCGGCGCGCGAGCGGCGCCGTCGCGCGGTCGCTCGCGCGACGCGGCGTCGGCGTCGGCGTCGGCGTCGCCGCGCGCGCGTCCCATCGCGCGATGGGGGCGCCCCCCCTCGCGTCGTCGTTCGCGCAACAAAACGCGGGTTTCCCCGCGCCCGCGACGCCTTCGCGTCTCTCTCCCCCCGCCGCCGCCCCGTCGCGGGCGCCGCGCGGGTTCGCGTCCACGCCCGCGAAGACCGCGTCCGCCGCGACCGACGCGTCATCATCGTCCATCACCGCGGACGACATCGAGATGAAGGGCGTCCAGATGCGAGGCCGCCCCATGTACCTCGACATGCAATCGACGACGCCCGTGGATCCGCGCGTTCTCGACGCGATGATGCCCTACCTCGTCGAACAGTACGGCAACCCGCACTCGCGGACGCACATGTACGGCTGGGAGGCGGAGGACGCGATCGAGGCGGCGCGTGCCGACGTCGCGAAGGCGATCGGCGCGAACGCGAAGGAGATCATCTTCACGAGCGGCGCGACGGAGAGCAACAACATGGCGATCAAGGCGCGTTCTGTACACTGGTCCCCATACGACCCCGTCCGCGCGGTGAACGCCGTTCCTTAAGGACTTTCGCCGGCGTGTCTCTGCGCCCACCCCGCGCTTTCAATCCCCGACACACCTCGATGCCTTTCAACTCCGCTTCTGACGCCTTTCAACTCCACCCCGACGTTCGCTCGTATGGACCCTCGACCCTAATCAAGGGCGTCGCGAATTTCTACTCGGGGAAGAAGAAGCACGTCATCACGACGCAGACGGACCACAAGTGCGTGCTGGACTCGTGCCGGTGGCTGCAGCAGCGCGGGTGGGACGTGACGTACTTGCCCGTGAAGTCGAACGGTTTGATCGACCTCGAGGAGCTGCGCGGCGCGATCCGCGACGACACCGCGATCGTCTCGGTGATGGCGGTGAACAACGAGATCGGCGTCGTGCAGCCGTTGAAGGCGATCGGCGAGCTGTGCCGCGAGCGCAAGGTGTTCTTTCACACGGACGCCGCGCAGGCGGTGGGGAAGATCCCGATCGACGTCGAGGACATGAAGATCGACCTGCTCTCGATCAGCGGGCACAAGGTGTACGGCCCGAAGGGCGTCGGCGCCATCTACGTGCGGCGGCGGCCTCGCGTGAGAATGGAGCCGCTCATCAGCGGCGGCGGCCAAGAGCGCGGGCTGCGCTCCGGCACGCTCCCGACGCCGCTCGTCGTCGGGCTCGGAAAGGCGTGCGCGGTCGCGTTGGAGGAGATGGAGCACGATCGCCAGCACGCGACGAGGCTGTCGAGGCGACTGATCGACGGCATCAGGCGCGTTCTCCTTACGCTGGTTCCCACGCGGCCGCGTCCGCGCGGTGAACGCCGATCCTTGAGGATTTTTCCCGGCGTCTGCCTGCATCTCTCCGCCCATCACCCCTCGCTTTCAATCCCGACGCACCTCGACGCCTTTCAACTCCGCTTCTGACGCCTTTCAACTCCACCCCGATATCATCGCTCGTATGGACGATCACCCTCAGCGCGAAATGCCAAAACGTCCAGCTCAACGGCGACGCGGACGCGCGGTATCCGGGCAACGTGAACATGTCGTTCGCGTACGTCGAGGGCGAGTCTCTACTCATGGGCCTGAAAGAGATCGCCGTCAGCAGCGGCAGCGCGTGCACGTCCGCGAGCTTGGAGCCGAGTTACGTCTTGAGAGCGCTCGGCGTGGACGAAGAGATGGCGCACACGTCGATTCGGTACGGCGTCGGGCGGTTCACGACGGAGGAGGAGGTGGACCGAGCGGTGGAGCTGACGGTGGAGCACGTGGCGAAGCTGCGGGAGATGAGCCCGCTGTGGGAGATGGTTCAGGAGGGGATCGACCTGAAGAGCATCCAGTGGAGTCAGCACTAGAGTCGGCATACGTTGCAGTCCGGACTATCATCGCTTCTGTCGTTTGTTTGATGACCTAAGGTTACGCTACAGTACGCGCGTTCTTCTATCTTCTAGCTACTAGACGTCGCTCACGCGCCGACCGTCGCGACGGGGACGTCGCCGGCGTCTCCCGCGCTCCCGCCGCCGCCCTTCCCCTTCCCCTTCCCCTTCCCCCGCCGGGTCGGTCGTTTCCCGCGCGGCGCGCCCTCGCGCCTCTCGGGAGCACGAGGGGGCCCGGGGACGCGAGCGTCACTCTTCGCCGGCGCCGCCGCCGCCGCCGCCTCGTCCGCCGCGTTCTTCTCATCGCTCCCTCCCTCTCCGCCCGGCGGTTGATACCCCGGCGCGGATTCGTCCACCTTGGACGCGTCGCGCGTCAGCGCGATCGACGCGACCGTCACCGCGCGCGGTCGGTTCGGTCTCGTCGCGGTCGCGGTCTCGTCCTCTCCCTCGCCGTCGTCGTCGCCGCCGTCGTCGTCGTCGTCCGCCGTCGCGCCGTTCCCCGTCGTCGACGAGGACTCGAACGTCTGAGGGTCGTTCCATACGAGCGAACGTCGGGGTGGAGTTGAAAGGCGTCAGTTGGAGTTGAAAGGCGCCGAGGGCGGGGATTGAAAGCGAGGGGTGGGCGTAGAGACACGCCGGGAAAAGTCCTTAAGGAACGGCGTTCACCACGCCGACGCGGTCGTATGGGAACCAGTGCGAACATGAACGCACCTGATGGAGGCCCGGGACGCGGCGCTTCACGATCTCGACGCACGCGATCGCTTTGTTGATCGCGCGCCCCGCGGCGGTGACGACCACGACGACGCCGTCGTCGCCGTTCGCGTCCTGCGACGACGTGGCGCGCGCGCGGGGAGGGAAGACGGGGTCGGCGGGGGACGAGACGAGTCGACTCGACGACGGCGGGACGGGAGAAGATGAATGAATGACATCGTCCGACGCGAGGGCGGGGCGCACCGCGAAGACGCCGAGGAGATGCGACACGACGTCGCGCATCTTCCCCCGCGAGCGCACCCTGACCTCGCGCCGCGCGGGGTCCGCGGACGCGCCCGTCATCGCGGCGGGTGCGGAGAGAGCGCGGCCACGAGAGTGGGAGCGCGAGCGATGATCAGACGCGGCATCAGAAAGCGCGGACTGCAGCAGCCAGGCATGGCAGCGCGCGGTGATGCGGTGCCGACACTTGACTTTCGTCGACGCCGCCCGGAGTCGTCGCGTCCGAGCCGTTGACATCGTCGACGTGTCGATAGTACCCTAACGCTATCGCGGCGCGGCCGCCGCCTAATGCACGACATCACTACGCCGCTACGCCGCTATTGGTCGCTCGTCGTCCGCGTCGAGCTCGACGACGCGCGCGCGAAACACCCCCAGTCGCGCGGCGCGCCACACCCCGCGCGCGCCGCCCGTGGCGAACGCGTCGAGATACGCGTCCATCTCCTCCGCGCTGAAGTGCGCCGCGCGCTCAAACGCGGGGCGATCCGCGTCCAACGCGACGACGCACGCGGAGGCGTTCGCGCTCGCGCTCGTCGCGGCGACGTTTCGCGCGCGTCGCCACGCCGCCGTCGCCGCCGTCGCCGCGGTGAACGGCGCGACGACAAACGCGGGCTCCGCCGCGCCGCCCGCGCACCGATCGCCCCCTAACGCGCGAAGCAGCGCGCTCGGGTCCGCGCCCGCGAGGTCGACGACGCGAATGCCCTTCAGCTCGTCCGCGTCGCCGAACACGTCGTACCGCGCGCTGTCCATCCGCCGCCGTCGCCAACGCTCGAACGTTCGAGCGTTCGTCGAGCCGCCGCCGCCGCCGCCGCCGTCGTCGTCGTCGTCGTCGTCGTCGAACGACCGCACGAGGAGCGCGCGCGGGGGCGGGTACGTCCGATAGAACACCGCGATCATCGAGCTCGCGCCCTCTTCGTCGCGCGCGCGCGCGTATATCCGCGAGAGCGCGGCCGTCGCGGGGACGACGCCGCCCTGATGCGCGACGGCGAAGAGAAGGAATCCGACGGCGTTGAAGACGATCCACGCGGCGATGATCGCGACGACGCGTCCGCGTCCGCGTCCGCGCGAATCGCACAACGCCGGCGCGGTCAACGCGACCGCGGGCACCAGCGCGGGAAGCAGAAAGCGCGGCTCTTGGTGCGGCGCGGTGGACAGGAGGATGATCGGGAGCCAGAACATCCACGCGAGCGCGCGCGCGAGTCGCCGCCGACCGGCGGCGGCGGCGTCGCCGTTTTTCCCACAGCCGCCGCCGCCGCCGCCGCCGCCGCGCCGCGCGAGCGCGCGCGCGTACATCACGACCGTCATCGGCCCGAACAGCAGCGGCGCGCTCACCACGACGTGCGACCATCGCGGGTGCGTCCCGTGCGTCGCCAAGTTCGTCGGATCCAGGTTATACCGCAGCGCGTTCAGAGGCGTCAAGACGACGCCGCCGACGCCGACGCCGCCGATTCTGCCGAGATGATACAGCGTGTCGACGTACGCGAGCCCGCACGACGCGGCGAGGAACGACGCGATCCCGACGACGCCGACGACGACGACGCCGAGCGACGACGGTCGACGTTCCGTCTTCCCCGCCACCGCCGCGGACGACAGCAGCGCCGCGCCGAGCGGCGCGGCGAACGCGACGCACGTGAACCGCGCGAACGTCCCAACCGCCGTCAGCGCGCCGAGCGCGCCCGCGGCGCGCGTCGACCGGCCGCGGTCGCGCCCGTCGACGATCGCGCGCGTCGTCGCGAGCACCGCGAGCGCGACGACGGTCGTCTCGGCGGCGTTGCTGAACGTCCGGAGCTGCAGCGCGAGCGTCGGCCAGGACGACGCGAGCGCCGCGCGCGCGCGCGTTCCCGCCGCTCGCGCGCCGCGCTCCACCTCCTCCTCCTCCTCCTCCAGCGCGCCGCCGCCGCCGCGTCCTCCTCCTCCTCCTCCGCGAGCGAGCGCTCTCGCGGCGGATGCGACCGCGGCGTCGAGCGCGAACGACGTCGCGAGCATCCACGCCCGCGGCGCGAGGAACACGGCGCGAGGGGACAGCGCCGCGCCCGGGTCCCACCGCCATCGCTTCTCGCACGTCGCCTCCATCGCTCCACCGCTCCATCGCTCCGCCGCGGCCGCCGCGGCCGCGAGGACGCCGTATCGCCCCCCGCTCGCGCTCGACGCGCTCGCGGATGCGCGCATCATCGCGAGCGCGAGCGCGCGAAGGAGCTTACGCGCCCTCCACGTCGCCCACGCGGCGCCTCTCAGGACGCCGAACGCGACGCCCGCGGTGAGCGACGTCGACGCGAGCGATCGCGGTGAACGCGAGGCGGAGGTGAACTCCCACGGCGAGATCGCGCGGACGCGGAGCACGTCCGACGCGGCGACTTCCACGGACTGGTGGTACTCGTCCGGGTGGACGTACCCGGTCGTGAACGTCGCGGCGAGTCGGAGGAGGACGAGGAGGGCGTAGAGGACGCGCCACGAGAGAGACGAGAGAGACGGCGACGACGGCGACGACGGCGACGACGGCGACGGCAACGACGCCTCGTCCTTCTTCTCCTCTTTCTCGTCGTCCGTCGCCGCCGCCGCCGCCGCGACGACGCGTTTCTTCGCCGCGACGACGCGTTTCTTCGACGGGCGCGGCGACGTCGACCGAGGCATCCTTCGCCGCGCGCGCGCGCGGACGCGCGCGGCCGAGTGCCGCCGCGCCGGGCGGGCGCCGCGGGTTCGTCGTGACTTTCTCGCGCGACGACGATTAAACTAACATTCTCCTGACAAACTCGAGGAGGGCATCAGGGCGTAGGGTTACGGTGGCTTCATCACTCCGTCGCTTCGCGCGGGCCATGGCGCCCCCTCCTCCCCCCGTCGAGCCCGTCCGCCTGACGATCGCGCTCGTGGGCCAGACCGGGAACGGCAAGTCCGCGACGGGCAACTCCCTCCTCGGCCGAGACGCGTTCGTCGCCAAGCGCTCGCTCGCGTCCGTCACGGAGCGATGCGAGAAGCACGTCGCGCTGCTCGACGCGAACGACGACCCGCTGCCGCCGCCGCTCGCGCTCGACGGCGCGGTCCCAGCCCCGCCGCCGCCGGACGCGACGACGCCGTCCACCATCTTGCGCGTGATCGACACCCCCGGGACGTGCGACAGCGGCGCGCTGCTGGAAGATAACCTGCGGCGGATCTCGGACTTCCTCGCGTCGACGACGGAGGTGGACGGCGGCGTCGACGCGCTCGTGTTCGTTCTTAGCGCGGCGAATCGGTTCACGCAGGAGGAGGCGGTCGCGATGGAGCGCCTCGTCGCGCGGCTCGGCGAGGGCGTGCTGCGGCACACGATCTGCGTCTTCACGCGAGGCGAGGAGCTCGCGCGAGAGGAGACGGACGCGCTGGAATTCATCGAGTCGGCGCCGGCGACGCTGAAGCAGTTGCTGCGACGCTTCGGCGACGGCGGCGACGACGCGCCGCTGCCGATACTCGTGGAGAACTTCCCGTCCCCGGCGTGCGGGCGATCGCGCGCGGAGACCGCGGCCGCGCCGCTCCTCGCGGCGGTGCGCGAGGTGCGCAGAGCGCGCGAAGGGAGGCGGTACGAGCCCGCCGACGCGGTGAAAGCCGCGCGCGCCGCCGCGAACGATCCCGCCACCGCCGCGCTCGCGATGCTCGACAAGCTCAAACAGCGCATGGCCGCGGGGCCGCTCGGGCAGGACGAGATGATGAAGAACGCGGCGATGCAGGCGTTCGACGACTTGCAGGCGCAGTTCGCCGCGCGCGCGGCGACGGGCGGGCCGGGGGGGGGACCGCACGCGTTCGCGACGGCGTTTCTCGAGGCGACGAAAGAGTCGGCGAACGACGCGGCGTCCAAGCCGAGGCCGAATCGCGCGCTCAAGCGCTACGCCGCGGCCGCGGTAACGAAGTCTGGCGCGTTCGCGCCACTTCCTGTGATGATCGGGACCGAGGTCGAAGGCGGCGGCGGCGCGCCGTGGGTCGAGGTCGAAGGCGGCGCGGACGTCGCGGAGGCTTCGGGGACGCTGCGGTGCGTCTCCGCCGCGGACGACGGCGGTGGCGGCGCGGGCGGGACGCTCAATTTCTACGGCGAAGGCCGCGCCTCGCGCGCGAGGCTCGCCGGGAACATATCGCTCGTCGGCGGCGAGGTCTCCGTGTCGTGCTACGCGAGCGTGGACGACAGCGCGCTGCCGGACACGGAGCGCTACGCGCCGATACTGACGCTGCGATCGCCGCTCTTCGTTGACGGGACCAAGGGCAACGGCGGGTGCTTCTACTGCCCGAAGGCGAAGCTCTGCGACGACGATTGGCTCGCGGAGGGGGTGTACAAGTGCGAGTTACGCGACGCGTACGACCCGGACGCGCCGTGCATACGCGCGACGCTGCACTGCGACGGCGGCGCGATGCTCGGGCGCGTGCCGCGCGTTCGGATCGCGTGCGAGGAAGGGACGAAGCTGGAGGTGCGAGGCGGTGAGATCTCGCTGCGGGACTGCGAGATGCGTTGGCGGCGCGCGGTGCCCACGGAGAGCGAGTCGAGAGCGCGGACGACCGCGATGGAGGACCGCGAGGCCGCGCGAGAGGCGCGCCCGGAGGCGGTGAAGAACGCGGAGGCGGAGCGCGCGTTGCTGTTGGACGAGCACTTCCGGAGGGCGAACCTCGCGGCGGAGGCGGCGGAGGCTGCGGGCGAGCCGTTCGACGATCCGCTGGTTCGGACGCACGACGATTCGCTCGACGAACCGCCGCCGGAGCGCGGCGCCGCGCTGATCTTCGAGGGCGGCGTGTTAGACCTCTCCCCGGAGATCTCGTTCGGGTTTACGCGAGCGGACGCGGGCGTGAAGTTCGAGCCCGGCGGCGCGTGGCCGTGGAGCGAGCGGTGACGAGCCGCGGCGCGCGCCAAGATCAGCGGTGAAGAGCCGCGCGTCGTCGACGCGCGCGCAGCACTCGAGCGCGCGTACTACAACTCGTCTATCATAAGCAGCAGTCCCGTTTCGTTCGTCGTCTTCGCGTTCGTCTAACTCGCGCTGATGATTCGCGTTCGTCTACCCCTACCCTCTCATTCGACAGAGGCTGACTCAATGAAAATTCAATTCCCAATCTCAGGTTGGAATCTCCACACAGAAAGAGGCACGTAGTCGCCGCCTCCGTCGCCGCCGTCCAAAAATGTCAAGTTCGCCGGCTTCACTTTCAGTGTCTTCCCGCTGCCGTCCAACGTCACCGTCCAGCGGCCGGCGGCGTAGTCGTACGAGCCTAACACGTCGTAGACGCCCCCGGTCAAACCGTTCATCTCCGGCGCCCCCTTGAGCCCGCGCAGTCGGACGCGCCTCGGGAGAAACTCGACGTTTTCCGCCTTGGCGCGCACGAGCTCGTCGCCGTCGTCGAGACGCACGGTCCAACGATCGCTGAGAGGGTCCCAGCTCTCGAAATGCGGCAGCGGCGCCTTCACGATTCCTTCTTTTCCGTTCAGTCGCGATGCGCCTCGTAATCCTCGCAAACGCACGCGCCGATCGCGCCGGCTGTCGTGAGCGTGCGTAGGACCGTAGAACGATTCCATGCATTGAATCACGGGAGAACTCGCAATGCAGCCTTTGACAAAGTCATCCATATGTTCCGCCGGGCAGGGGAAACGGAAGCGCGGAATGACGGCGGTCCAATCTTCCGATCCGACGTGGCCGGCCATGACGATGGCGTAGTAGTGTACGTCTGGGTCGAAGTCAGCTTGCCCGTATCGCATGCGGAGGAAGTCCATGTTCTCTACGTCTCTTCCGTAGCTGTCCTCGTCCCAGACGGCGCGATTTATCGTTTCGACCGAAGCCAACTTCGGGTTCGGCATGCCTTGCACGCGAATGAGCGGGCTACTCGCGCGCTGTCGCCACGCTTGAATGAGCACGAGATGAGGAATGAAACTCAGCGAACTGTACCACTCCAACGTGTTGTTGTCCTTTTCTAGCGGCGACTTCCCAGTTTCCGCGTGCATCAGTTTCTGTTCGTCGCACATCGCCTTGTGTATGGGCCAGTGCGCGACCTGGCATTCTTTGCTGCAGTAGGCGACGATTCCGCAGCGCGAGCACTTTTTGACACGGCTCACGTCACGATCTTCGCAGGCGAGGTTCCCGCACTTGAGGGTCCCGCTTCCCTTCGGCTCCACCCGGTCTCGCTCGCCGCCAGTAACTGCTCGTGGTACGTATCTTTCCGGACGCGCTTCAAGAATTTCTCCAGCGCGGACGCTCTCTCCTTCACCGCGGCGCGCATGGAGTCTTCGTCGTCGGAGAGCACGTCGGCATAGCCGGCTCCTGTCGTCCATCGAACAAAACGTTGGAGAAGTCCGACTTCGTCTGTCGGCAGGTGCTCGTTATCGAACGAAGGAGGTAGGATTCGCAATCGGCCACGGTCCCCTTTCCACTCCTTGAGCTTCTGAAGCGCGTCCCGCAGCGCATCGAGGTCCATCGCGTCGGCCGCGTCACCGGCGAGCTTCTTGCACCACTTCTGCGTGCGCTTCAACTCCCTCTGGAAGTCCGACGGCATGCTCCATCGCGCGCTGCGCTCGTCGTACGTCCATCCGTCGGCCTCGGCTTCTTCTATCGTCGGAAAAGCGTTCTCGGCTCCGTACCCGGGGGGTTGCTTGATCGGCTTTTCGAAGAAGCCGTCGGGCACATTCTCGGGCACGGTAACGGCACGGTACTCGTAGGGGGGTAACGATTCGAGCAATGCGAGCATGTCCGCGAGGTCTTCGTGCGCGCGGTGGTCGCGCCGTGGACGGCGCCCGTGGGGGACGCCGCGAGATCTGGCGCGGGGAAACGAATCGTCGGCCTGAATATATTTCGTCGTTGCTGACATGACAGGCTCAGGATGACTGGACGAGGAAAGTCGCACACTCGGTGCCGTCCCTCCGCTCGACGAACCGCCGCCGGAGCGCGGCGCCGGGTTGATCTTCTAGCTAGGGCGGCGTGTTAGACCTTTCCCCGGATCTCTAGCTAGTCGTATTTCGGGTTTAAGCGCGAGCGGACGCGGGCGTGAAGTTCGAGCCCGGCGGCGCGTGGCCGTGGAGCGAGCGGCGACTTTGAACTAACAACGCGAATTCTTCGTCTGACGATGTGACGACAGTTGCTCGCGCGCACTCGGAAGGCGCATCGCACGCTCGACGCCGTCCCTCCCGCTCCGTTCTGCCGCGCGATAACGCGCATGTACGGCCGCGGCGGCGGCGGAGGGCGCGGCGGCGGCCGCGGCCGCGGCGGCGCCGGAGCGTACTACAAGGCCAAGTACGGCGGCGGCGGGCGCGGCGGCGGCCGCGGCGGCGGCGGCGGCCGCGGAGCAGATCTCGACGATCTCGGGGGCTCGTCGCACCGCGAGCAGGCGCAGCACGCACCGCGCGGCCCTCGCGGCACCAGCGCCGACCTCGCCGCCACCCTGCGCCGCATCGACGGCAAGCCGTACGGGGCGTACCGCGACATCCTCGGCGCGTGGGACTTCGGCGGCGGCGCCTTCGCGCTCGTCGTCGACCGCGTTCAGTCCGATCTCTTCGCGCCTCCGAGCCGCGCGCGCGCGATCGTCCCGGCCGCGGTCGCGCGGTTCCCGCCCGAGCTGCGCGCCACGCCGACGCGCCGCGTCGCCCTCGCTGACTTCCTCGCGCGCCGCTTCCACGCGCTCGTCACGCTCGGCGGCCTCGACCGGCGGCGCGGCGACGCGGGCGGCGGATGGTCCTCCGCGAAGGGCGGCGAGCTCGGCGTGGACCCGCCCGGTCAGGTACGTTCTTACACTGGTCCCCATACGACCCCGTCCGCGTGGTGAACGCCGTTTCTTAAGGACTTTTCCCGGCGCATCTCTCCGCCCATCCCACGGTTTCAATACCCGCCCTCGACGCCTTTCGACTCCATCTGACGCCTTTCGACTCCACCCCGACGTTCGCTCGTATGGAACGACCCTCAGCACGTCCTCGCGCGCACGTCGGTGCTCGTGAACGAGGCTGGCGACGTGGAGGGCCGCTTCACGGTCGCGCTCCCCGCGGCCGGGCGGTCGATCCAAGGCGCGTGGGCGGCGCGCGTGCTCGTGGAGGCGCTCCCGGGGGTGGTGGAGTCGGCGCTGACGTATTTCGGCGGCGTCGACGCGGCGGCGGCGACGCGACACGCGGAGAGCGTCGAGGACCAGCGATCGCTCCGCGCGCAGATCCGCGCCGCCGGGCTCGTCGCGTTCGTGCGCGACGGCGCGATATTGCCTCGGTCGGCGGGGAACGCGGACACGCCGATGACGGGCGAGGGCGTGGTCGCGTTCCGGTCGCCGGAGAGCTTGCGCGCGGCGTTCGACCTTCCCAACTCGGGTGCGTTCTCACCGCGCACGCGTACGGAAGTACTGTATTTCACGCGTCGCGTCGCTCGGTGTCAACGCTCGATCGCGTCTTCTTTCGACTGACCGATGAACATCACACAACTTATACGCATGAAATGGACCTCATCAGGCTCAGTGACCGGCATGGCGATCAGAGCCGGCGTCACACTCGTCGTCGGCGGCGGCTTCCACGGCAAGTCGACGCTCCTCCGAGCCCTCGAGCTCGGGTGCTACGACCACGTCCCCGGCGACGGCCGCGAGTTCGTCGTCTGCGATCCCACCGCGGTGAAGATCCGCGCCGAAGACGGCCGCGGCGTCGAGCGCGTCGACATCTCGCCGTTCATCTCGAACCTGCCGTTCGGCAAGCGCACGGACGCGTTCTCGACGCCCGACGCCTCGGGGTCGACCTCGCAGGCGGCGAACATCATGGAAGCGCTCGAGGTCGGGTGCGAGGTGTTGCTGATCGACGAGGACACGGCGGCGACAAACTTCATGATACGGAGCGCGGAGATGCGAAGACTGGTGTCGCTGGAGAAGGAGCCGATCACGCCGTTCATCGCCAAGGTGCGGGCGCTCGCGGACGTCGGCCCGGATCCAGATGTTACGGGTCCGGGTCCGGGTCCGGGTCCGGGCGACGGCGCGTCGGGTGTTACTCCCCCGACGGGTGTTACTCCCCGGCGGGTGTCGAGCATCCTCGTGCTCGGCGGCTCGGGCGATTACTTCGCGGTCGCGGACACCGTGATATGCATGGAGAACTACGCGCCGCGGGACGTCACCGCGGAGGCGGCGGCGATCGCGAGGGACGCGTTCCCTCCCGGGACGATTCACGTCGACGAACGCTTCGGGAAGGTCGCGGCTCGCGTGCCGGACCCCTCGAGCGTCGACGCCGGAGCGCGCCCCCCCAAGGTGCCGACGACGGAGACGATCCTGTGGGGCGACGACCAGCGCGAGATCCGGCTCGGCGCGGTGGAGCAGCTGTGCGAGCGCGGGCAGACGCGGTTCATCGCGGAGGCGCTCGCGGCGATGGCGAGGACGGGGTGCGTCGACGGCGGGCGGACGACGGCGGAGGCGCTCGACGCTTTGGAGGCGCTGATCGCGGGGGGCGACGGGATGGACGCGGTAGGGGGCACGAGAGGGGACCTGGCGCTGCCGCGGAGGTTCGAGATCGCGGCGGCGCTCAATCGCCTGCGCGGGGTGCGGATGACGCAGCGCGGCAGAAGCGCGCGTAGTTAACAACCTAACTTTACCAAACGCCGCTACGCGTGCGGTGCGATGTTCTGCTTCGACGTGTCCCTGTCCACGCCGTCGTCCAACCCCTCGCTCCCGATCATCGACCCGCCGTGTATCTTCTTGCTGTGCTTCGCTCTCACGCGCTCGCGGTGTGCCTCGTACCCGGGCGTCGACTCCACCGCGTCCGAAGACATCCGCGTGCGGTGCAGCGATAACGTCGTCAACGACGCGCAGCCTTCGAACACCTCGCGCGGTATCGCCATCGCGCTCGTGTCGTCCAGGTTCAGCAGCGCGAGCCGTCTCAGCGCGCCGAGGGTGGATGGAACGGTCGTAATCCGTGCGTTACGCGACGCGTCGAGCTCCTCCAACTGCTCGCAATCGCCGAGCGCGTCCGGAAGGTCCGCCAGATCGTTCCTCGAGACGTTCAGCCGACGCAGCGATCGCAGCGCGCCCATCCCCGCCGGGAGCGCCGCGACGCGGTTGCCCGCGAGCGACAGCGTCGCGAGCTTCGTCAGCGCGCTCAGCCCGGCCGCGAGCTCGTCGCGCGTCACCTCGCGAGGGAACAGCGACGGGCCTATTCGGTTGTCGTCGAGCGTGAGTGTTTTCAGATGGACGCACGCGCACAGCTCCACGGGGATCGCCGTCAGGTCGTTCCTCGCGAGCGTCAGGCGCTGCAAGTTTACGAGCGTCGCGATCGACGACGGCAGCCGCGCGATCCTGTTGCACGACGCGTCCACGTTCTTCGCCGCGGTCGCGATCGCGGCGTCGCCGAAGAGCTTCGGTGGGAGCTCCCTCAGTCCCGCGTCGCGGAGACCGACGATGCCCGTGTTCCTCCACGCGTTCTCTCGCGCGCTCGCGTTCCGTCGAACGTTCTGCTTGGGCGACTTGGACGACTTGGACGTCGACGCGGCCCCGAGGTCGCGGTACTTTCCCTTCTCTTTCGAGCCGCAGATCCCCATGACGACGACGAGACGCCACCTCGGCGTGCGCGTACGGTACTGATGAAATGAAATGAAAACTCTCGACGAATATTTTGTCTTCATCTGAACACGTTCGAACGCCCGCCTCCTCCCTCCTCTCCCTCACTTCTCGTCGCGCTCCGCCCCGCCGCGCGCGGTCCACGCGGCGCCGCCGCCGACGACGACGACGACGTTGACGACTCCGACGGCGGCGGCGGCGGGCGCGATGTCCCGCGCGTCGGACCAAGAGAAGATCTCGCGAACGGTCCACGTCGGCGGCATCCGCGGCCTGGACAACGGCGAGATCACCGAGCGCGACGTCGCGGAGTTCTTCTCGCAGCAAGGGCCCGTCGTCGCCGTGCGCGTGCACGCTCGCAGCGCGTGGGTCGAGTTCGCGGACGACGCGTCCACGATGGCGGCGCTCAACCTCGACGGCGTGACGACGGGCGGGCACAACCTGCGCGTCAACCGAAGCAAGACGGCGATCAACACGAACGCGCTGCTGGAGAGGACGCGCGAGGCGTCCATCGCGGCCGCGCGCGCGGTGACCGGCGTCGCACCCGTCGCACCCGGGCACCCGGGCACCCGGGAGGCGGCGGCGTACGCGGCGTACTACGCGCAGCAGCAGCAGCAGCAGCAGCAGCAGCAGTCGGTCTTAGTGCAGGGGGCGCCGTACGTTCCGGAGCAGGCGCCGGCGCCGGCTGGATATCTGCAGACGGGACCGCAGATGGGATACGCGCAACAGACGGGGTACGGGTACGGATACGCGCACGGGTACGGGTACGCCGCGCCGGGGACGGGGACGGGGATGCCGGGGACGGGGATGGCGCCGGGGTACTACGGCTATCCCCCCGGCGTCGCGCCGACGGGCGGCGGGGCGCAGAAGGTGACGTACAACGTCCTTCCGCCGCCGCCGCCGCCGCCGCCGCGATGACGACGGCGACGACGACGACGCGCGCGCGATCGTAGCCGTTGGTCGTGTACACGCTACGCGTAGCCTTCTACTACAGTACAGTACCTACTTCGGCTTCGGCTTCGGCTTCTCCGACGACGACGCCTTCTTCTCCGCCCTGCGCTTCTTCGCCTCCGCGCGCCCCTTCTCCCTCCGCCGCGCCGCCGCCGCCGTCGCCGCCGCCGCCGCGTTCGCCGCGACGCGCGGATCGATCGCCTCCCTCCGCGGATTATCCTCCCTCCCGTCCTTCCGCTTCTTCCTCCTCCTCACGCCGCTCCTGTCGCCGCTCCCCGCGTGATGCAGCATCCAATCCGGGACGTCGCATCCGCTGTTCTTCATCACGTTGGCGATCGCGCGGAGATCCCCTCGTCCCGCGTCCTCCTCCGTGAACAGCGTCACCGCCGCGCCGGGCCGTCCCGCTCTGCCGCTGCGTCCGATCCTGTGAATGTACGCGTGCGGGGACGCGGGGAAGTCGTAGTTGATGACGGTGCCGACGCCGACGAAATCCATCCCGCGCGCCATGAGGTCGGTGGCGACGAGCGTCCACGCGTCGCCCGCGCGGAACCGGTCCACCTGATGCCAATTGCGATTCCGTGCGATGGATGCACGTTCATCGGTCAGTTGAAAGGGAAGAACGCGATCGATCACGTGTTTATTGAAACCGAGGCGCGGGTGAAAAACGTAACGTAACGCGCAGCATAACGCGCCTGCGCTTGCCGCTTCGCGTCCGACATCCCCGCGTGCACCAACCCCAAGCGCAAGCCGTCGCCTTGGAGCTGCTTCGCGAGCTGCTTCGCGCGGTCTTTGCTCTGCGTGAACACGATGATCGGCGGCTTGATCCCGTCGGAGATGAGCTGCCGCAGCGCGAGCATCTTCCCGCTCTCCCGCCCGCAGAAGAGTAGCCTCTGCGCGATGGTGGCGTTGGCCGAGTTGCGCTCCCCGACGGTGAGACGCATCGGCGACGTCATCACGCTCCGCGCGAGCTGCTCTACCGTCTCCGGCAGCGTCGCGGAGAAGAGCGCGCGGGTGACGCGCGGGCCGTCGCACGCCGCGACCGCGGCGTCGACTTGCTCGACGAAGCCCATCTCGAAGAGCTTGTCCGCTTCGTCCAGCACGAGGAACTCGACAAAAGATAGGTTGCATTTTCGCTTCTCGATGAGAGACTTGAGACGGAGAGGGGTCGCGACGAGGACGTCCACCTTGTCCATCTCGTTGTTCTGCGTCGCTTTCGTGAGGAGGCACGTTCTGTGGGTCGTCGGGTTAGTCGACGCGCGGAGTGGAGTGGAGTGGGCGAGGGAGGGAAGTCAGCGGTCGGAGAGAGAAGACTGGACTGGATGGAAGAGAGAAAAAAAAAGAACGACAGCCTTCCGAGTCTCGCGTCGAGCGTCGCGGGCGGAGGATAGATCAGTCAGCGGACCGCGCGTACAGCGGCTGCGTAACGGCCCTGGAGAGCGGATTTGACACGCCACTGCTCCTGGGTGCCTCACAAGACCCGGGGCTTAATCCGGTACGGCCCTGAGCGTCGTCATCTCTATCCAACCGCGCGAGCGACCGACCGAAAAAAAACGCAACACGTGAGCGAAAAGAACGCGTCGGGGCCGACCGAACCGAACCGATCCGGTCGATCGCGAGCGCCGCGCGCGCGCACCTCAGCGAGTTCGTCCCGCGGCACAGCAGCGTCAATATCCTGTGCGACTGTTGCGCGAGCTCCTTCGTGGGCGACAACAGCAGCGCCCTCGGTCCGCCGACGTTCGCGCGCGTCTTCAGGGCGACCAGGATGGGCAACGAAAACGCGAGCGTCTTGGGGTGGAGTCGGGGTGGGGTTGAACGGCGTCAGATGGAGTTGAAAGGCATCTAGGGCGGGGATTGAAACCGCGGCGTGGGCGGAGAGATGCTCCGGCGAAAGTCCTCGAGGAACGGCGTTCACCGCGCGAACGCGGTCGTATGGGGACCAGTGTCGGATGGAGCGCGCCTTGCCGCTCCCCGTGGGCGCCACCGCGAGGAGCTCGTGCCTCCCCAGCAAGATCGGCACCGCCTGCCGTTGCACCGGGGTCGGGTCCACGAAACCAGCCTCTCGCAGGCGTTTCATCAGCATCGGCCCCGCGCCGTGCTTCGCCCGGACGTCGTCGAAGGACGTCAGCGGCGGCGGGCACGAGTGGCCCGCGTGCGTGACGCGGATGCGATGCGTCCGTCGCAGCGCGTTGGCGGCTTCGGACTCCGCGGAGGTCGGCGCCGACGGCGCGAGGTCGTCGTCGTCGTCGTCGTCGTCGTCGTCGTCGTCGTCCCTCTTCCCTCTCTTCTTTTTCTTCTTCTTCTTCTTCTTCCCCGTCTCTCTCTCGTCGCGGTCGTCGTCGTCGCGCGCGCGCTTCTTCCTCTTCGCTCCGGACGTCGAGAAGACGTCGACGGCGCCGTCGTCGGACTCGGACTCGGCGTCCGATCCTCGGCCGCCGCCGCCGCCGCCGCCGCCGCGCGCGTCGCTCGATCTCTTCTTCTTCGCCGCGCGCTTCGACTTCGACTTCGATCCCGATCCCGACGCGTTCGTCGCGCGCGCGTCGCCGTCGCGGCCGCTCGGGGACGCGACGCCCTGCCCGCGCGTCGCGTCGCCGTCGCCGCCGCCGATCGACGACGCCTCCGCGCGCTTCTTCCGGAACGCGTCGGGGACGCCGCTCTTGAACTTCACGCCGCCGGTGAGCTCCGCGAACGCGAGCGCCTGCTTCGCGACCGCGAGGTCGATCGAGCCCGCCATCCCGGTGGGTTCGCGCGCGCGGACGACCGAGCGCGCGCGCGTTCGGTGTGCGCGCGGAGGGGACGATGCTCGACAACGATTTCTCGGCCGAGCCGCCGGTCGCGGTCGGCCGACCGCTTCTTGAGGTTTTCGCGTATTAGGGCAAATCGCGCGATGGGGAGCGCCCACAACGCGTCGCGCGTCACCTTCGAGGCGACGACGACCCCGCGACTCTCGCGTCCACGCGTCTCGCACGCGCGCATTCGCGCTCGGAGCGGCCGAGGGATCGCGCACGTCGCGCGCGGAGAGGGCGGCGGCTCAGAAGGAATTAAAGCGCCATCACAGCAATTTCCACGGCGGCCGATAAAGCGAGACATCATTCGATAGGAAGCGCGCGCGCGAGGGATGAGCTGCTTCGTCGTCGCGACGAGCGCCGCGACCGCGGCGTCGACGTCCGCGTCGGCGCGCGGGACCCAGCGCGAATGTCGCGCCACGACGAGCGCGCGCGCGAGGGCGGCGGGCTTCGGATTCGCGCCGCCGCCCTCGTCTCGCGTCGTCGCAGACGGCCGCCACCGCCGAATCGCGGGGGGGAGAAGAATGGAAGAATCCTCCTCTTCCCGCGCCCTCGCGCCGCCGCGCGCGTCCACGTTCAAGGACGACATCGACAGCGACGCGCTCTTCGACGACGACGACGAGTACCCCGGCCTCGCGCCGTCCGAGGGCGGCGCGCTCGACGCGGTCTCCCTCACCCCCGACCAGCGCGCGTCGCGCGTCGCGGAGAGAACCCCGGGCGGCGGCGGGTTCGGGTTCGACGACGACGAGCTCCTCGACGACGTCGACGCGTCCGGGTTCGACGCCGTCGTGGCGGGCGGCGGCGGAGTTGGCGGAGTTGGCGGCGGGCGCGGCGGCGCGGACGATGAGGAGGACGACGGGTGGTTCTCTTCGAAGTCGTCGGCGGCGCAGCCGTCGCCGTCGCGATCGACGACGACGACGACGACGCGAGACGACGGCTCCAGGGGCGGGCTTCCGAGGTGGGCGGACGACGCGGACATCATATCCGCCGGCGACGGCGCGCCGTGGTTCGAGAACGACGAGGAGTGGTACGAGCCGGAGTACAAGGACGTGGACGCCGCGGAAGGGAGCGTACTGGAGATGGTGCAGCGGTTGCACCTGCGCCGGCCGAAAGATTACAACTTCGAGGACGGCGAGTACTTCGACCTGACCGGGTTCGTGAAGGACAACACGGACAATCAGTTCGCGCTCGTGCTCGAGGTAGCGGAGCGGGCTCGCGAGCGGAAGCTCGAGTCCCTGGAGGCCCTGAACCCGATCCCCCCGGGCGCGGCGTTGCCGCCGATTCAGCAGGCCATCGTGGACCTCGCGTTGGAAGTGGAGGCGAGCGGCGGGAAAACGTCCGCATTTCTGGCGTTACGCGAAGCCGCGGACCGAGCGCGGCTGCGATGGGAGCTCCAGGAGGCGGCGTGGGCGTGGGATAACTACTGCGAGGAGTTCATGCCCGAGCTCGGCGTGAGCGAGAGAGCGGCGAGGTTGCTGCACATGGGTCGACGCGTGGAGGACGCGATGGATTTCGAGAAGGATCTCGCGACGCACAACGACGACTACAACATGCGGAAGTTTTGAGCGACGCGACGCGTGTTTCATCGCGTGGGTTATGTAGAGGGCGTCGCGCGAGATAGAAGCGCGCCGCCGACTTTTGTCGTGATGTGATTTGATTCTTTTGTCTTTGATGAGAAGACGCGTTCGTTCGTCTCTCGCGTCGTTCAAAATTGTCTTCAGACTCCGTTCGCTCGTCACACGTCGCCCTTCTCCACCGCCTTCGTCTCCGCCTTGATCGCCGCGAACGACGCGGTCAGCGCGTCGCTCCCACCTATCGTCTTCTCGATCAACCCCGCGAACGCGGCGTCGTCCATCGCGCCCTCCAAGGCGCTCAGCGCGACCACCGCCCGCAGACAGCTCCGAATCAGATCCTCGTTGCGATCGATCTCTTGCTTCACCGCGTCGGACTTGAGCTTCGCCGTGAGCGTCTTCTTCATCGGCTCACACAGCGCGGCTAACCGCTCGCGCGCGTCGCGCTTCGCGTCGCCGCGACACAGCTTCACGAGCACCGCGTGCGCGACCATCTTGACGTCGTACTGATCCCCGAGGCCGGACGTCAGCGCGTCGAGGTAGCCCGCGGCGGCGCCGAGTCGCGTCATCGCGCCCGCGTTTTTCGTCGGATGCAAGCACGCGTCCAGGAGCGTGTCCAAGCACTCGAACGCCGCCTTGCGCAGGTCTAACCCATCGTCCACGGTGTGCTTAAACGGCCCCAGGTCGACGACGCGCACGAGGTCTTTCAAGATCTCCGTCTTCGCGATCAGCGCCGGGAGCGCGTCCGGGAGCGACGGCGTCACGAGCGTCGCGTCGGCGTGCGCGGCGGCGGACAACGTCTGCGCGGCGGCGCGTCTGAGGTGCGTTCCATACGAGCGAACGTCGGGGTGGAGTTGAAAGGCGTCAGTTAGCGTTGAAAGGCACCGAGGGCGGGGATTGAAAGCAGCGAGGGGTGGGCGGAGAGACACGCGACACGCCGGAAAAAGTCCTTAAGGATCGGCGTCCACCACGCGAACGCGGTCGTATGGGAACCAGTGTGAGACAGAACGCGCCTGACGCCGACGTCCTCGTCCGACAGCGCGGCGTTCGGACCGACGACGCACGACGCGAGGCACGGCGCGACGAGCGCGCTCAGCACCGCGTCCTTCCGCTTCGCGACCGCGCGCGCGAGGTGCTTGACCGCGGTGACCGCGGTGACGCGCGTCGACGCGTCGGGGTGAAGCGCGGGGTCGAGACGCGACGTCAGCTCCGGGAGCAGCCGCGTCGGGCGCCGCGCGGCAAGCCGGCCGAGGCACTCCGCGGTGACGTTCCGGACGCCCTCCTCGTCGCTGCCGGCGTTCTTGAAGAGGACGTCGAGGATCTGGTCGAGCTCCGCGTCGGATAATTGCGCGGTTTTCGCGGCGGACGACGCGTCGCCGTCGCCGCCGCCGTCGTCGTCGTCGTCGTCTTCGGGTTCGCCCGCGCGAATCACCTCTCCGAGCGAACACAACAGCGAGTACCGATGCGTCGGCATCTCGTCCATCTTCGCGAGGATCGTGGGAAGGAAACGCGCGCGGTTCCCCGCGGCGACGCCGCCGAGCGCGAACGACGCCGCGGACTTGAGATCCTCCCCGCTGGCGTCCAACGCGGCGAGGAGCACCCTCTCGAGCGCGTCCTCTTCCGACGCCGCGTCCGTCGCCGCCGCCGCGCGTCCGAGCTCGCCGAGGCACAACAGCGCGAGCAGCCGCTCGGACGCGTCCGCATCCGTCTTCGGCGCCTTCCCGCCCTTTCCAGCCTTAAGAGATCCGCTCTTCTCCAAGCTCGCGATGAGCTTCGACGTGGTCCTCCGCGACGCGTCGGCGCCCGCGGCGGCGCACGTCGCGGCGACGCACTTGGCGACGGCTTTCCCAATCTCCGCGACGCCGCTGCCCGACGACGTCCCCGCCGCGCTCATCGCCGCGCTGGAGCTCCCGCCGCCGCCGTCCGCGAGTAAATGCCCGCCGAGGCTCGATCGATCCATCAGCGACGCGAGCGTCGTCTCGAAGTCCGCGCCCGCGAGGTTCGCGCGCGTGAGCGCCGCGAAGAAGCCGCGCAACGCGACGAGCGCCGGCTTATGCATCAACGGCGACGACGCCAGCGACAACGCCGCGGGGACGACGAGCGCCTTGGCCTTTTCGCACGCCTTCGGGAAGTCGCTCGCGCGTCTCAACACGCTCGACGCGAGCCCCAGCGCCGGGGACGCGAGCGCGACGTCCGCGTCCGCGACGAGCGCGGACGCCTCCTCGACGACGGCGGACGCGACGTCATCTGAGGGTCGTTCCATACAAAGCGATGGGGGGGTGGAGTTCAAAGGCGTCAGATGGAGTTGAAAGGCGCCGAGGGCGGGGATTGAAAGCGAGGGATGTGCGGAGAGATGCGCCGGCAAAAGTCCTTAAGGAATCGCGTTCACCACGCCAACAGGGTCGTATGGGGACCAGTGTATAGAACGCACCTGAGAGCGCCGCCGCGTGGTTCGTCGCGAGCGCGGCGAGCGCCGCCGCCGCCGCCTGCCGCAGCGGCCGGTTCGCCTTCCGCAGGAACCCCGCGAGCTCGGTCGCCGCGCGCGACGCGACGTCGTTCATCTTGAGGTTCAACTTGACCGGCGACGCCGCGGCTCGACCGATGGCTTTGACCGCGCACAGCCGCGTCGTCTCGTTTTTTAATCGGTCGACGAGCAAACTCAGCGTCTCCCGCGCGACAGCCTCGCCGACGCCGTCCTCGCCCAGCTCCGCGAGCATCGCGCCCGCGCACGCGATCGCAGCCTCCTTGACCTCCTGATCTTGATCCACGCGCGCGACGCGCGACGCGCACGCGGCCGCGAGCTCGGCGGCGACGGAGGCGTCGACGACGGCGGCGGCGGCGGCGCGGGCGGCGGCGAGGACGGGCACCAACGCGGCGCACGCGCGCATCGCCTCCGCGGCGATCTTGTAGTACGCGTCGCCGCTCGCTCGGAAAACGCACGGCGCGAGCGCGTTCACGTGTGGTGCGAACGCATCAACGGCGTGCGTTTCGATCGCGAGGCGCACGAACGCGAGCGCGGAGACGCGCAGGGTCAGCGTCTCCGGCGTCCGCGCCGCCGCCGATTTATCCGACGCGTCCATCGCCTTGGCGAGCGACGGCGCGATCGCCGCGAGCGGCGACCCGGCGAGGCACCCGGGCAGCGCCCGCGTCACCTCGCGCAGCAGCCCGAACGTCGCGATTTTCGTCTTGACGCTCGCGCCCTTCGCCTTGAACGCCTTCGTCGACGCGCGGACGATCGTCGGCGCCGCCTCGGGGTCGTTCCGTACAGAGCGACGTCGGGGTGGAGTTGAAAGGCGTCAGAAGCGGAGTAGAAAGGCGTCGAGGTGTGTCGGGATTGCACGCGAGGGACCCTGGGCGGAGAGAGACGCCGGGAGAGAAAGGCCTCAAGGAACGGCGTTCACCACGCCGACGGGGTCGTATGGGAACCAGTGTAAGAACGCACCTCGGTCGCCGTCGCCGCGAGCGACGCGGACGCCGCGCGTCTCGGCCCGCACGCCCCGACCACGTCCTCCAGGCACGCGTACACGTCCATCTTGACCGTCTCCTCGCGCTCGCGCGGCAGGCGCGACAGGAGCGTTCGTTTCACGCGCTCGAAGTGGGACTCCAACACCGCGGCGGAGGACGGCGACGGCCCGGCGACAGCCGCGGAGAGGAGCTTGACCGCGGCTCTTCGAACTTTCCAGCTCGCGTCTTCGTCGTCGCTGTACTGATCGTCGTCGCTCTCGTCGTCGCTACCGTCGTCGCTGCCGTCGTCGTCGTCGCTGTCATCGCCGTCGTCCATCGCGTCATCGCCGCCGTCGACGTCCATCGCCCCGCCGTCGTCGTCGTCGTCGTCGTCCGCGTAATTCGGATCGTACGACGCCATCGTCAACGCGAGTTCCACCACCGCCGGCAAATCCTCCGCCGTCTCCGCGGGGCACCGCGACGCGAACATCTCCAGCGTCGTCAAACACTGCTCCCGCAGCGCCTCCGCGTGCTCCTCGCTCGCGGCGCGCGCGAGCTCGACGACGCGGCGCGTCGCGTCGACGCGTCGAAGCGTCGAGCCGAACCGCGCGCCCGCGGATTTCGCAGACGCGCCCAGGAGGTGCGCGCATAGTCTCGCGTCGTCGCACGCGCTCGCCGACGCACAACGCGCGATCGCGTCGGGACCCAGCGCGTCCAAGCGCGACGTCGCCGCGTCCGCGATCGTCCCGAGGAGCGCGTCGTCCACGCTGCCGGCGAGCGCGGCGAGGCACGCGGCGGCGCGTTTTCTACCCGCGCGTCGCTTGGCGGTGGACGCGTCGTCCATCGCGCGGAGCAACGCGTCGACGAGGTCGGCGTGACGCGACGTCATGATGGTCCCGTAGCTGCAGACGACCGCGTGGAGGATGTCCAGGCATTCGCCGCTGACGTCGTTCGCGGCGTTCGAAGGCTTCGCGTCGTTCGCGCCGGACGACGACGGGACGGCGACGACGCGTTCGATGAGTTTCGGCGCGAGCGACGAGACGATCCGCGACGCAGACGCGTGGTAGCCGAGCTCCGCGACGATCGTCTTCAGCCCGATGACCGCGACGTCTCTCTGCGCGGCGGCGTCCTTGCCGATCGTCGCGAGCTTGGCGCACAGGCCGTCCACGACGTCCGCGGCCGCGGCCGGGGACGCGCCCTTGACGAGCGGGGGAAGGCACTTCACCGCGAGCGAGGAGACGTCGCCGGACGCGTCGTCCAGCTGTCTCAGGACGACGCCGCAGACTTTCTTCTCGACGTCCGCGGTCGCGCGGAAGCTCTCCTTGGAGAGTTCCGCGAGGAGGTCCGACGTCGCCATGTATCGGAAGTCTGCGACGCGGGAGATGGACGGGGGCGGGGGGGGGTGGGGGTCAGGACGGCGGGACGGACGACGGCGACGACGCGTGATCGATCGATCGCGATGGACGAAACGAACAACGGGGATGCCCGTCGTCGGATCTGGCGAGATCTGGTCGGCAAAAGGGGCGTCGCGCGCGCCTTTGTCCGCGGACGCGATCTTCTCTAGGATCTGCCCGAGGGCGGCCGAGCCGGACATCTCGCGCGAGTTCGCACGAGCGCGCGAGGCGGGCTGGCGGGGGGCGCTCAGATGCTGTGACGACGGGCGAAAACATTTCATCGGCGGAGTCGAGTCCTCTGTTCGGAGTTCGCGTCTTCTCTACTCGCTCATCAGTCCACCCGGCGCGGGGGCCGCCGGCGGCGCCATGGCCGAGCGGCCGCTGTCGTCCTTCTTCGACGACTGGGACGAGGAGGATGAATCCGAGACGTTCGAAGACGCGACCGCGGGTCCGGACGGCGGCGGCGCGGCGGGGGGCGACGCCGGCGACGGCGACGCGGAGGCGACGTCGATCGAGGCGACGACGCGCGCGGTCGCGTCCGCGACGATCGACGACGACGACGACGACGACGACGCGGACGACGGCGAGGAAGACGACGAGTGGGGCGACGCGGAGTGGAACGGCGCGGACGACGACGAAGACGTCGCGGGCGACGCGTCCGGCGACGGCGACGGCGACGACCGCGACGCGACGAACCGGCACGAGATCCCGTTCGCGGACTTCAGCGTCCGCACGCCGACCGAGCGCGCGACGATGCACATGAAGAGAGCGCTCAGACGATGGACGTCCTGCGACGACGAAGAGCTCGCCGTCCTGTCCTCGCCGTGCGAACGCCCGAAGCACGCGAGCGCGGCGTGGCGCGCGTTGCGGGCGGAGATTCGACGCGGCACGAGGAACGCGCCGGCGGCGCCGTACCGAATGACGCTGTACTACCCTCCCGACCGCCCGCCGAATCGACGCGGCGGAGGAGGAGGAGGAGGAGGAGGAGGAGGAGGAGGTTCCGGTTCCGACGACGCTTCCGATGAGGAGATCTTCTGCGACGCGGACGCGGAGACGACGCGACGCGCGGGGGGCGGGATCCAACGATGGTTCGGCCTTCGCTCGCCGTTCGTCGTCGTCGAGCCGGCGCGAAGCGCGTTCGGGTACTTCCACGACGACGCGCCGGGAGAGGACGACGGCGAGCACGCGCGACGCGCGATCGCGCGCGCGCTGAAGGCTTTGGCTGCGGGGGGGGATTGCGAAGGGTGGCCCGCGCTCGTGCCGATGCACGGGCCGGGAAGGGGCGCGTACGCGGGGGGGACGGCGACTCTTTCGTTCGAGAGCGAGAAGATCGACGGCGTCGCCGCGGACGCGTCCCCGGGGCGGACGCTCAGAGGGCTGAGCGACGCGCTGAGTCGCGCGATCGACGAGCCGCGCGGCGACGGGTCCGGGTCCGGGTCCGGGTCTGGCGGGCGGGCGCTCGCGAGCGGCGGCGCGGAGAGTTTGCGGGACCCGCGCGCGAGCGCGAGATTTACGTTTCCGACGGAGCGGCGGTGGTGGCTCGAGCGGCGGCGGAAGCGCGCGCGCGAGACGGCCCCGAAGAAGATCGAGAAGCCGAAACCCGCCGCCAGATCTACGCCGGGATCCGCGTTCATGGCGCTCGCGGACGGCCTGCGCGTCACCGCGCTGCGCGGCGTCCTCGACGCCGCCGGCGCCGCCGCCGCCGGCGACGACGACGACGACGACGACGACGCGTTCGGCGTAGACCGAATGACCGAATGGGACGACGACGCGCCCTGGTCGCCGTGGTCGAGCCTGTGCGACCCGTGGGCGTCGACGGAGATCGACTGCTCGTGGACGAACGTCCCGCTGTCGTCGCTGATCGAGATGAAGGACCCCGCGACCGGACGGCGCGGGGACGGGAGGGTGGACGTCGCGCGCGCGCCGCGTTGGACGTTAAGAGCGACGCCGTTTGGCTCCGTCGGCGCCGGCGATCTGATTGAAGACTCGTGCGACGACGGCGAACGCGGCGGACGCGGCGATTTTCTCCGCGGCGGGTCGAACGCCGGCGTCGGGCTCGCGGAGATGTTCTTCCTCCTCGCGCGCGCGGCGGGCGGGACGGAGACGGTTGACGTTCCGTCTTCCACCACGATGTCCGCGCTCGCGTCGGAGGAGCACTGGGACGAGATCGGGAGGCTCGCGCCGCGGGCGCCGCCGGAGAGCGTCGTGCAGGACGTCCTGAGGGACATCTTCGATGTCGTCGGGGGCGTCGGGGGGGAGAGAGGGAGAGGGAAAGGGAAAGGGGCCGCGGCGGCCGCGGCCGCGGCGGCGGCGCGCGTCTCTTCGTCGTCGGCGGCGGAGTGTTCGTTTCCGAATCCGCCTCGGAGCGCGCCGCCCGGGAGCCTCCTCGCGAGGGTCGCCATGCACGCGCTGCAGTTTGGTAACGTACGAGCGGTGAGCGTTTTATGGCGACGTTTCACCCGGGAGATTCGGTTCGCGCACTGGGACCGCGGCGTCCCGCTCCCGCGCTTCGACGCGGTCGCGACGAACGACGACGGCGAAGAGGAAGAGGAACTCCCGGACGCGAACGCGTGCTTGCTTCACCAGAAGCTGCAGCTTCTGAACCTGTGCATTCATCGCCGAGTCCGAGCGTCGAAAGCGGCGTTCGAGGCGTCCGCGGTCGCGAACGTCGAGCCGGTCCCGAGGCTCGCGCCGTCCGGGCTCGCCGGCGCCGTCAGCGCGGCGTTCGCGCCGCCGTCGGCGACGGACGGATGGGGGGACGACGACGACGATTGGAACGACGCGGACGATTGGAACGACGCGACGCGCCCGATCGACGCCGCCGCGGCGGTCGACGACGGGTTGGACCTGACCGACTTGCTCGGCGTCGGCGACGAGATCAAGGCGAAGTCGAAACCGAAACCGAAACCGAAACCGGAAGCGGCGGCGGCGGCGGCGGCGAAGTCGACGACGAAGAACGTCGAAGCCCCGTCCGCCGCCGCCGCCGTCAAACCCGAGGGCGTCAAGCGCGCTTCCCCGACCGGCGCGCGTCTCCTCTCGCCGCCGCACGACGTCGTGAACGAGCCCATCACGCAGCCGCCGTTCGTCGCGACCGAGGACGCGATGCGCGAGCGCGAGGCTGCGTTCGCGGCCATGGGCGACACCGAGGAAGGGCGGAGGCTGCGATTGAAGACGCAGAGCGGGGTGCTCGTGTCTGACATGTCCGCGTTCAAGGCGGCGAACCCGGGCGCGGTGCTCGGCGATTTCGTGCGCTGGCACTCGCCGAAGGACTGGATCGAGGAGGAGGAGGATGGCGACGATCGCGACGGCGGTTCCACGGCGGCGAAACCCAAACCCAAACCGCCGAGAGGTATGCTCTCCGAGCGCATGAGGGACGAGACCAACGCGTGGCACGCGCACTGGCGAGACGCGCCGTCCGCGCCCGCGCGCGCGCAGAAGCTCCTGTTCGACCCGATGAGCGAGGGCGAAAAGGCGCTGCATTACCTCGACACGTCGCCGCCGGCGGAGATCTTCGCGCAGCTCCTCGCGTGCGCGTGCGCGTCCATCGGCGCGACGTACGCCGCCGCGCGCCCGGGGGCGACGCTCGCGCCGGCGCCGGCGTTTTTGCGCGACGCCGCCGACTGCGCGGCGGCGACGTTTTCCCGGGGGACGGGGACGGGGACGGGGGACGCCGCCCGACCGCGGGAACACCCCCGCGACTACGCGACGCTCGCGGGGATGCTACAGAGGGCGGAGCGCGCGGTCGCGAGGGCGCACGCGCTCGCGCATCGGCTGCCGGGGGTGTCGGACGAGGTGCTCGAGCGGACGCTGCTCGCGGCGGCGGAGGACGAAGCCGCGAGGGACGCGGCGGCGGCGGCGGCGGCGGAGCGCGCGGAAGATGGAACGTCATCCGTCGCGCCGCGCGCGCCGCCGCGCGTCATCGAGAAGTGTATTGAAACGCACGAACGCGACGCGTTTCTGGATTTAATGCCCGCCGGGAGCGCCGCCGCCGCGCACGAGGCGGCGACGCAGACCGAACTGGTCCTTCGTTGCGGCGGCGACGGACGCGAGCGCTCGCGAATGCACGCGGTCGCGTCGCCGTGTTACATTCGCGTGTCGTCCGCGATCGCGTGTGGTGGGGAGGAGGGATCGGGATCTCCGACGACGACGACGACGGAAGAAGGCGGCGGCGGCGGTGAAGCGTGAAACGCGACGTCGCGCGCGGCGATAGACTAGACGTAGACCTTGACCTCATCGAGCCGTCGTCTTTCGATTCGTTTCGATTCGATTCGTTCGCGTTCCCCTCCGCTCGACCTCAGTGCTTCGACACCACGAGCTCGCACTCGCACACGTCGTCGTAGTCCGTCAGCGCGGCGTCGAGGTCGTCCAAGCACGTCGCGCTCGCGCTGCTCAGCTGATGGTGTTCCGCGGACCCGGGCGCGAACAGAAGAAGGCGCTGGCGGCCCGGCGGGACCCCGATCTCTTCCGCGATTTTTTTCTTCACGTCTCGAACCGTGTCGAAGACGGCCGCCTGCAGTATCGTTCGCCCGTACAGATCGCGGACGGGGACGGCGTCGCATGCACTGCGTCCGGGGCCTTGGTTGAGCTCGTACGCGCGCTGGCCGTCGCGCATCGACTGCGCGACGCGACGATTACGATTCGTCGTCGAAGGCGACGACTTCTTTTTGACCGGGGGCGGTCTTCGTCTGAAGGAGAAACCACCCTTCCTTCCTGAACCTCCCTTCCCGATCTGCCTCAGCGCCTTCTTCTTCTTCTTCTTCTTCGTCGCTTCTTCTCCTTCTTCTCTTTCTTTCTTCCCCAAGCCCGCGAGCAGCGCGGCGACGAGCACGGGCACCGCGACGAGGTACGCCCTCGCGAACTCAACCGCGAAGATCGTCAGGTCGACGTTCGCGGTGATGAACGGCGTCGCCGTCGCGGCGATAGGCACGGCGACCGCGAGAGACAAGACGAAGACGGTGGCGGTGAGGAGCGCTCTTCGCGCGAGCCGGAACGGCGCGCTCGGGACCGTGAACGGGCGAAGCAGCGGGCCGCAGAGGTGGTCGTCGCGCCGCTCGAGGCCGTCGGCGCCGTTCTCGGCGTCGTTCAACGGGCGCGGCGGCGGCGGCATCATCCCCGTGGAGCGGAAGTGCGCGACGACGACGCGCGCGCGCGCCGTCGTCGAAAAAGCTCTTCGTATCGGACGCGACGACGACGACGACGACGGCGCCGCGGGTCGAGGCCGGACGCCGCGCGCGGCGACGGACGCGCGCGTCGGCGAGGGCCGGAGGCGGAGCGGCGAGGCGGCGAGCGGCGGCATCCCGCGTCCGCGTGGCGAGAGGGGAGCGCGCGCGGGGAGTGCGCGCGGCGTCGTCGTGGTTCTGTTTCCTTCTTGCTGCCTGACTCGACTCACGCGAACGAACTCGAACTCTCTTCGCTCCGAGACACGTAAGGAAGAAGCCTCCGCCGCGAGCACACCACCCCCGCGCGCTTCCACGCCGGGATGGTCGCGACCGCCGCGCGCAAGGCGCGCCGCGAGGCCGCGGCCCTCGCCGCGGCCGGCGGCGCCCCCGCCGCGGCCGCGCCGTCGCCCGCGGCGGCGACGCCCGCCGCGCGCGCGCTGACGACGTCGGCGACGAAATCGGCGGCGATTTCGTCGTCGTCGTCGCTCGCGCCGCGGAAGACCATCGTCAAGGGCACGGGGAGCAAGTCGCAGGGGACGTACACCCCGCCCGCGATCCTCCACGCGGTCGCGAACGCCGCGCGCAACAAGGAGTCCAAGGGCGGCGGGAATGGCGGCGGGGGGGATCGAACCGGCGGCGCCGCCGCCGCGAAGGCGGATTGGGACTGCGCGAGTTGCGGCAAGAGCAACTTCGCGAAGCGGCGCGCGTGCTTCAAGTGCGACGCGCCGCGGCCGGGGCGGACGTTCACCGCCGCGGGGGTGAAGGGGTGGGAGAAGCGGCAGGCGAAGCGCGCGGCGAAGCAGCAGGCCGCGGGAGGAGGAGGAGGAGGAGAGACGCGCGACGACGACGACGACGCGGCGGCGGCGGCGGCGAGGGACGCGCGACCGAAGAAACCGAAGAAGACCAAGCTCTCGGACGACGGCGACGAGGACGAGGACGAGGACAAGCGACGAAATGCCCGTCCGAAGCGCAAGAGCGTCAAGGCGAGCGACCGAGGTAAGGCGCCGAAGAAGCTGCGAGACCCGACCGCGCCGCTCGTCTACCTCGAAGCGTGGATGGGCCGCGGCGAGCTCGACGCGTCCACGGGCAAGCCCGCGAACGGATGGAAGCTCGATAAGAACATTCAGAACTGGCTCCTGCACAACGTCTTCGACGAGGGCGAGGTGGACGACGACGTGTTCGACATCACGGTGATGTACGCGGGGGGGTTGCGAGGGGGGCCGGCGACGCGGCTGCGGGACGCGGCGAGAGAGAAAAATTTTGGCAAGGGCGTCGTCGCGGAGCGCGCGAGGAAAATCTTGCGAGCGTTGGAGAAGAGCGCGAGCGAGATGGCAGAATAACAGAATAACGCCACGTGAATGACCGTTCGTAGTACCACAATTATTATTACTGTACTAAAGACCCCCCGCTACGAGCTCGGAAGTATCCCTTTAGACCCGAGCAAATATGTGTAGTTAACTACACACCGGGTCTAAAGGGATAAGTTGCCCGAGTGCGCGCGGCGTCACTCGAGCCCCGGCAGCGCGGTCGGGTAGTCGAACCACCGAGAGTACAACGCGAGTCCCTGCGCGATGAGACGCGCCCTCCCCGCGACGTCCAAGCCGCGGCACTCCGCGCGCGTCAGCGCGCGCATCAGCCGCCCGTTTCCGCCGCCGCACTCGAACGCGGGCGCGTCCGTCCTCCGAAACGTGCACGCGATCGACCGCCTCGGCGTCTGATGATTCGTCTCGCCGCCGACCCCTCTTTCGTCCTCGCCCTCCTCGCGCAGACGGCACTTCGTCCCCCAGTGCACCGTGTTCCCGGTCCACGCGCACACCGAACCCGCGCGCGCGGGCAGCGGCCGCGCCGCCGCGACGTCGAACGTCAGCTCCGTGCCGCGGCCGTCGTCGCTTCGCGTCGCCGGTCGGAGATGGTCCGGGTGCTCGTGGTCATCCCACCGCGCGTCGTCGCCCCTCGGGAGCACGCACAGGCACCCCGCGTCGAGCGTCGCGTCGACGAGCGGGAGCCAGACGCACAGGAGCGTCGGTCGGCCGCCCGCGGCGGCGCACTCGTACTCGATCTCGACGTCGGCGTCGTCGGAGTCGGCGTCGGAGTCGGAGTCGTCGCCGAGGACTTCGACGCCACCGACGGTTTTCTTTTTCCTGCGAGGGGTCGTCGCGCGCGCGAAGCGACGTCGGGGTGGCGTTGAAAGGCGTCAGAAGCGGAGTTGAAAGGCGTCGATGGCGGGGATTGAATGAAACCGAGGCCTGGGCGGAGAGAGACGCCGGGAGAGAAAGTCCTCAAGAAACGGCGTTCACCACGCGAACGCGGTCGTACGGGAACCAGTGTATAGAACCCGCCTGCCCCATCCCTCGCCGACGACCCACGCCTCCTTCGCGCTGTAGTCGCGGTGCGGCAGCGCGAAGTTCTCGCCCACGCCCTCGACGCCGTTTCCTCCGCGCCCTCCTCCTCCCCCGACGCGTCGCAGCGCCCACGCGAACACGGACGGCTCCAAGACGATCCCGTCCTCCGCGTCCGCGTCCAACGCCGCCGCCGCGAGCTCGAAGAGCTTAGGGTCGAGGGTCCACACGAGCGAACGTCGGGGTGGAGTTCAAAGGCGTCAGAAGCGGAGTTGAAAGGCGTCGAGGGCGGTGATTGAAAGCAGCGAGGGGTGGGCGGAGAGACACGCCGGCAAAAGTCCTTAAGGAACGGCGTTCACCACGCCGACGCGGTCGTATGGGGACCAGTGTCAGATAGTAGAACGCGCCTTGTCCACGAGCAGCCACGCGTGGTCGTACGCGAATATCGCCGCCGGCGGCCACCCCGCGTCGAGCAGCCTGTCGATCCCGACCGCGAGCCGCGCGCATCGAGACGTCCACGGGCACGGCCGCCGCGACGCGGGGCGCCGCTCTTCATCATCTCCGTCGGCGTCGTCGTTCGGATGCGTCGGCGAGAAGTCGTCCACGCGGCTCCCCGGGGGCCCGCACTGCGCGTAGCCGTCGCGTCCGAGCGCGCGCCGCAGCGCGCGCGCGTCGCGGTCGTCGCGCGTCATCCACGCGTGGATCGGGCTCGTCGACGCGGCGTGGCGGCGCGCGTTCCCCGAGGACGACGCCGTGAGGTGGCCGTCGACGAGGCGCTCCCAGAACGCCGCGCTCGCGAGCGAGGGCGGGACGCCTTCGCCCTTCGCGGTGGAGCGCAGCGCCGCGCCGACGTTCGAGGGCGTCGATCGCGTCGTCGTCGCGTCGTCGTCGTCGTCGTCGGCGGCGGCGGCGGCGGCGGCGGCGGCGGCGGCGGCGGCGGCGGCGTCGCCGTCGCCGTCGTCGGAATCGGAATCGTCGTCGTCGCCGTCGCCGTCGAGAGAGAGGACGCTCAGGCGGTCGCGCACGAGATCCGCGACGGGCTTCTCCGTTGTCATCCGAAGGACCGCGGACAGCAGCTTCCTCTCCGCGGCGGCGCGGCCGTCGCCGTCGCCGCCGCCGCCGGCGGCGCCGAACACGCCCGCGAGCTTCCTCAGCGCGAGCTTCCTTCGCTCCGCGACGGTCGTCTCGTCCATGGCGCGCGTCGTCGGCGGCGGCGGCGCGGTTCGACTTTAGGTGCCGACCGTCCTGTCCTGTCGCTGTCGCTGACGTTGTTATTTTTTTTGCAGGGTTTTCTTTCGCTGACGCAACCGTGACGCAATTCAGTTCGTCGTCCCCGCTCGCGCCGCATTCGTCGCCGCGCGACGCATGTTCTCGAACGCGCTCCGCCCCCCCGCCCTACTTCTCCGCTCCCCACGCGTCGTCCGCGGTGCGCGCCGCGTCGCCCCGCTCTCGCCGCGAGCCGTCGCGACGAGGCCGACGGAGGATCCCTCCAAGGAGAAGCAGGAGCGAATGGCGAGCGACTGGAATCGCGCGAGCGGCGAGGGCTTGTGCACGGTGCGAGAGGTCATCTCGTTCTGGTTCGACGAGCGCGCGTGCTTCGAAGACGGTGCCGCGCACCTCCTCTGGGACGCGTCGTGGATGAACGGCAAGGCGCGGACGCAGTGGTACGCGGGCACCAGCGCGGACGCGAGCTGCGCTAAGTTCGCGGCGACGATCGAGGCCACCGCGAGAGGCGACCTGAACGCGCACGAGGATTGGCTCAAGTGGCCGCACGGACCGATGGCGAAGATAATCCTGTGGGACCAGATCGCGCGGAACTGCTTCCGCGGGACCGCGAAGGCGTTCGAGTTCGACGACAAGGCCTTAGAGCTCGCGCGGACGATGGCGCGCGACGACGACCTCGTGGAGAAGCTCCCGCCCGCGTACGTGCACTTCGTGTGCTCGCCGTTCACGCACAGCGAACGCATCGAAGATCACGACCTCGGCTTTCACGTGTACGAAGGGCTGGCGAAGCGGTGCCCAGAGGTGGCGGGGTTCGCGGAGGGGGCGATGAAGTCGCACCGGGACGTGATCGCGAGGTTCGGGCGGTACCCGCACAGGAACGCGAAGCAGGGGAGGGAGAGCACCGCGGAAGAGCTCGCGTGGTTAGCCTCGGACGAAGTTCCGGGGTGGGCGAAGAGCCAGTAGAAATTTTCGCCGATGACGTCTGTATAACTTACGACCCGTCCGTTCGCGCTACCGAAACGTCGCGGACCTGTCGCCCGAGCGCGGGTGCGCCTTCGACTTCTTCGCGGGCTTGAACGCCTCAACGAGCTCGACGCGGCCTTTCTTCTTCTCGCCGCGACCGCCGCGACCGCCGCGACCGCCGCCGCCGCCGCCGCCGCCGCCGCGACCGCCGTCGCCGCGACCGCCGCCGCCTCTCCCGCCGCCGCCGCCGCGTCGCTTCCCCTTCCCTGAGCTCGCGCCCAGCGCCGCGAACGACGACCCTCCCGGGAGCACCGCGGCGGCCGCGGCGGCGAAGTCGAACCCGCCGGCGCCGACGTCCATGAGCGCCTTCTCGTCGTCCTCATCCACGCCCGCGGACGCGCGGCGCGTCCTCCCTCCGCGTTCCGAATCCGACGCGTCCTCGTCCGAGTCGTCCGAGTCGTCGAACCCTCGCATCGCGGCGCGCCGTCGATCCGCGAGCGCGCCGCGCGCTTCCTCCGCGAGCGCTTTAACCACCGCCTCGCGCTCCGCCTCGTCGCGCTCCGCCTTTCGCTTCGCGCCCGCGCCAACGCGCAACGGCGCGGGGGCCTCGTACCCGCCGGGCAGCTCGACGACGCGTTCGTCTCTTCGTCTCTGAGGGCCGTTCCATACAAAGCGATGGCGGGGTGGAGTTCAAAGGCGTCAGATGGAGTTGAAAGGCGTCGAGGTCGGGGATTGAAAGCGATGGGTGGGCGGAGAGATGCGCGGGACAAAGTCCTTAAGGATCGGCGTTCACCACGCCGACGCGGTCGTATGGGGACCAGTGTATAGAACGCGCCTGAGTCGTTCGCGTCTCGTTCGCCTCCCTCTTCGCGTCCTTCATCCCAGCCTGTAGCTCCGCGGTCGTGGGCGCGGGATGCGCGGGCGGCGTGGTCGCGTCCTCCGCCACCGCGGCCGCGGCGTCGACCGGCGGCGTCCAGGACTGGAACAGCGCGGCGAGCGGCACCTTTCCTCTGCGCAACGCGGCGTGGACTTTTTCGGCGGCGGCGGAGGCGGCGGAGGCGGCTGAGGCGGAGGCGGAGGCGGAGGCAAAGGCGGCGCCGCCCCCGCCGTCGACGCCGCCGCAACGCATCATCCGCGCGAACGCGCCTCCTCCAGATTTCGGCTTCTCAGCGGCGACGGGCGCGAGCGACGTCGACGGTTCCGGGACGACGCCGCGAGCCGGGACGACGCCGCGAGCGTCCGCTGGACCCGCGACCGCGCCGCCCGACCGCATCATCGACGCCATCCCGCCGCCGCCGCGTCTCGGCGCCTCCGCCGCCGCGACGACCGGCGGCGGCGGCGTCCGCGTCGCGACCGCCGCGTCCTCCTCCTCGTCCGCGCACGGCACGAGCGGCGGCGCGCCGTTCGCGACGGCGGCCCGCACCAACCCGACGATCGCCTCCGCGCGCGCCGCGACGAGCGGCGCGTCGCCGCGCGTCAGCGCGAACAGCGCGCGCGTCGTCCCCGGCGACGCGCGCGCGATCCGCAGCAAGAGCGACCTGGACGCCACGTACGCCACGCTCTCGTCCGACGCGCGCGCGGTGACATCTCTCCACGCGTGCAAAGCCGAATACGCCGCGAGCTGCGCGGGCTCCAAGTTTCGCTCCTCCGCGGGGTACCTATTGTACTCGTCCCTCCACGCGGAGGGCCCGCGCCGCGGGGGTTTGTACAGCGTCAGGCACACGTCGCGGCTGCGGTCCAGCGCCTCGCGAAGGCAATCGCGCGGCGGTGACCCCGAAGGGTCCGCCGTCGAACCCGCCGCTGAACCTAAACCCGCCGCCGCTTTCGCTTTCGCTTTCAATCCCTCGGTCAGCGCGCGCAACTCCTGCTTCATGCGGTCGTGGACGTACAGCAAGTGGTGCGTGTCCCCGCGCGCGTACTCGAGCATCTCCCGCGAGAGCGGCCGTCGGCGCCAGTCCGCGAGCTGGTACCGCTTGTCCGCGTCGACGTCGCAGAAGTGTTTCAGCGCGTACGCTGAGGGTCGAGGGTCCGTACGAAGCGACGAATGTCGGGGTGGAGTCGAAAGGCGTCAGAAGCGGAGTCGTGAGGCGTCGAAAGCGGGGATCGAATGAAACCGAGGCGTGGGCGGAGAGAGACGCCGGGAGAGAAAGTCCTCAAGGAACGGCGTTCACCACGCCGACGCGGTCGTACGGGGACCGGCGTCTGTCAGATAGAACGCGCCTAACCCCTTCGAAGGGAGCTCCAACACCCGCGCCGCCTGTCCGGTGTCGAACATGTTCACGACGTAGATGCCAAAGTCTCGCTGCAGCCACTGGACGTCCATGTCCGCGCCGTGCATGACCTTCTGCTTCGTCGCATCCTCGAAGTGCCGCGCGAGGTGCGCGCGCATCTTCGATCGGAGCGCGAGCGCGTCTACGACGAAGTCTCTCTCTCGCGTGGACACCTGGATCACGCACGTGAACCCTCGGAAGCTCCGGTACGAGTGGTGCTCCAGGTCCACCGCGAACTCCGCGACGCCGTCCAAGTGCGACGCGAGGTCCGCGAGCGCCGCTTCGGTGTCGACGTAGGTAAAGGTCGCGGGCAGAGACGGGTCTCCCGTCGGCGGCGGCGGCGCCGTCGCCGTCTCCGGCGCGGCGGCGTGCGACGGATGCGCGTCGTACGTCAAGCCGTCCAGCGCCTCGCGTAACGGATGCACCCCGGGCGTTGGAACGTACGCGCTCGGGTCCGCGTGGCCGTGAGGGCACGGCGGCGCGAAAGGTCCGTCGGCGTTGTCTGCCGGGACGTCGAAGTCGTCCTGCGGCCGCCGCGCGGCGGCGTCGTCGGAAAATCCCAATCCCCCTCGATCCCTCCCTCGCCCGCCGCCGCCGCCGTCGCGTCGTCCCGCGCCGACGCGCGAGGACGACGCGTCGCCGCCGCGCGCCGCGCGCGCGCCGCCCACGACGTCTCCCGCGCGCGCGTGGACGTCCAGGAGGCGGTCCACCGCGTCGAGGTGGTCGTCCAGGACGCCGACGACGCCGACGTAGAACGCGTCGTCCTCGTCCGTCGCCGCGACGCCGTCGGGTCGCGTCGCCGCGTCGCGCGCGGCGTCGACGCCGAGCCGCGCGAGGATCTCGCCGACGGACGCGCGCGCGCGCTCGATCCTCCGCGCGAACTCTCTGAAGTTGTTGCAGTAGAAGTGCTCTGAAGGAAGATCGCGGGGCGGGGCGGGAGCGCGGACGTCGGCGGAAGCGGAAGGGCGGGCGACGGCGGCGGAAGCGGAAGGGCAGGGCGGGCGGCGGCGGGGAGAGGAGACGCGACGATCGATCGGGTGCCGATGTCGCGGAGGATGGGCGAGGACGACGGACGACGCGACGCGCCTCCTCTGAGCGGCAACTCCGTGGACTTCGCGTCGCCGACCGCCTTCGAGAGCGGCCCTCTCGACGCGGCGAAGACCTCGAGCGCCGCCTCGCGGGGCGTCGACGGCGACATCGGAGCCGCCGCGGCGGAGCGCGCGGAGCTCCGAGACCGCCCGCGGTGCGCGCGGCGGACTGAAGTGATGAGCTTCGACTCTCGAATCGTGCCGTTGACGCTCGTGCCAGATTTCGAACTGGGCGCTTCGCGCGTCGCGCACACCCGCGGGCGCGTCCTCACGCCCGCGCGCGAGCGACTTCTCGTCGTCGCGCACCTCCATCGCGCGCGCAGCGAAGGGAATCGCGCTCGCGTCGCGACCGACGCGACCCGCGCCGTCGTCGCGTCGATCGCTCGCGCTCGTCGACCGATCCCGTCGGGACGTCGTCCGTCCGACGTTCGCATCATTCGCGACGACCTACTAGCTAGCTAGAGAGGCGCCGTCGTCGTCGTCGTCGCCGTCGTCGTCGTCGCCGTCGTCGCCGCCGCCGCCGCCATGGGGTCCGGCGGCGGAGATTCCGCGGCGTACCAGTACATGTTCTACGTCCTCCTCAGCGTGAACATCGTCATGGGCGCGTGGTTCGCGCTGAAGTGGTACTACGTCAAGAAGTACGAGGGCAGGATGGCGACGGAGGCGCCCGATCTCGCGCCGACGCCGTCGCAGCCGCGGCGACAGCCGCGCGCGCCGCCGACGCGGCCGCCGGACGGCGCGCCGCTCAACTACGCGAACTGGAAGGGCGGGCTCCCGGACCGCGACCGCGCGGCGATCGAGCGGCACCGCAAGGACGCGTTCTCGCTCCTGGACGCGCTCGGTCTGAGCAAGGGCAAGGGGTCGAGCGTGTTTCCGGCGCTGCCGCCGGTGGCGGCGCCGACCTCGCCGCTGCCGCCGGTGGACATCGAAGCCCCCGCGCCGGTGTCGCCGCTCGCGCCGATAGCGCCGATAGCGCCGCCGCCGCAGCAGCAGCAGCAAGAAACGCATGACGCGCGACCGTTACCTCCGCCGAGGATCCTCAGAGTCGAC